ACTCAGCGCATTGGAGACTGGAAAGCTGGCCTTATTCCCAAACATCGATTGTTCGTGGCATTTGATTTGTCCTCAGGAACTTTGCGTTTCTCGGTCGCTGTGTCTTGACTGAAAAAGCACTCAGGTCCTGTGCATGTATGGAATTGCACTCCCTGCTCAAGAATTTCTTTATTATGTTCAGTTGCCATTGGCTTGGCAGCCTGAGGCAATTGGAAAGGGAAAGACATCCCTGAGGCTGCCCCTAAAATATTGGCTGCCCTGGGCTGAAGCAAGGTGCTCAAGTTTTTAATTTTCAAATGTGAAATGAAACCCTTTCCCATTGCGAGGGAATGCATACAAGACCTTTCCTTTCCCTATGAACACCTTTCATTTCGTGAATTGCTTGATGTTTCGCATTAAAAGGTTGAATAGATGCCTGGAAGGGTGCTGATTAGCATGCAGAATTCTGTCGTGAGGACCGTGTTGTGGATTTCTCGATTGCTGCCTCTTTCTGTGCCCAGGTGGCTAATTAGCGCTCTCTTGCCGACTCCTCAGAAACGTCCAATCCTATGTGAGCCGAAGTAGTGCAGGCAGCAACTTGGCGGTAGAACTACTTTTGATTGTGTTTCGGGCCTTGTCATTTTGAACCAGGCGCTTAGGTTTTGAAGTTGCGAGTGTGAAATCACATATTTCCCGGGCATGCATGTAAGACCTTTCCTTTCCCTATGAACACCTTTCAATTCGTGAATTGCTCTATGTTTCGCATTAAAAGGTTGAATCGATGCCTGGAAGGGTGCTGATTAGCATGCAGAATTCTGTTGTGAGGACCGTGTTGTGGATTTCTCGATTGCTGCCTCTTTCTGTGCCCAGGTGGCTAATTAGCGTTCCCTTGCCAACTTCTCAGAAACGTCCAATCCTATATGAGCCGAAGTAGTGCAGGCACCAAACTTGGCGGTAGAACTAGTTTTGATTGTGTTTCGGGCTTTGTCATTTTGAACCAGGCGCTTCGGTTTTGAAGTTGCGAGTGTGAAATCACATATTTCCCGGGCATGCATGTAAGACCTTTCCTTTCCCTATGAACACCTTTCAATTCGTGAATTGCTTGATGTTTCGCATTAAAAGGTTGAATAGATGCCTGGAAGGGTGCTGATTAGCATGCAGAATTCTGTTGTGAGGACCGTGGTGTGGATTTCTCGATTGCTGCCTCTTTCTGTGCCCAGGTGGCAAATTAGCGTTCCCTTGCCAACTCCTCAGAAACGTCCAATCCTATGTGAGCCGAAGTAGTGCAGGCAGCAACTTGGCGGTAGAACTACTTTTGATTGTGTTTCAGGCCTTGTCATTTTGAACCAGGCGCTTAGGTTTTGAAGTTGCGAGTGCGAAAACACATATTTCCCACGAGAGGCATGCGTGTAAGACCTTTCCTTTCCCTATGAACACCTTTCATTTCGTGAATTGCTTGATGTTTCGCATTAAAAGGTTGAGTAGAAGCCTGGAAGGGTGCTGATTAGCATGCAGAATTCTGTTGTGAGGACCGTGTTGTGGATTTCTCGATTGCTGCCTCTTTCTGTGCCCAGGTGGCAGTTCCCTTGCCAACTTCTCAGAAACGTCCAATCCTATGTGAGCCGAAGTAGTGCAGGCACCAACTTGAACTTGGCGGTAGAACTACTTTTGATTGTGTTTCAGGCATTGTCATTTTGAACAAGGCGCTTAGGTTTTGAAGTTTCAAGTGTGAAATTAAACCCTTTCCTTCAAGTGTGAAATTAAACCCTTTCCCATGCGAGGGCATGCATATAAGACCTTTCCTTTCCCTATGAACACCTTTCAATTCGTGAATTGCTTGGTGTTTCACATTAAAAGGTTGAGTAGAAGCCTGGAAGGGTGCTGATTAGCATGCAGAATTCTGTTGTGAGGACCGTGGTGTGGATTTCTCGATTGCTGCCTCTTTCTGTGCCCAGGTGGCTAATTAGCGTTCCCTTGCCAACTTCTTATGTGAGCCGAAGTAGTGCAGGCACCAACTTGGCGGTAGAACTACTTTGATTGTGTTTCAGGCCTTGTCATTTTGAACCAGGCGCTTAGGCTTTGAAGTTGCGAGTGTGAAATCACATATTTCCCGGGCATGCATGTAAGACCTTTCCTTTCCCTATGAACACCTTTCAATTCGTGAATTGCTTGATGTTTCGCATTAAAAGGTTGAATAGATGCCTGGAAGGGTGCTGATTAGCATGCAGAATTCTGTTGTGAGGACCGTGGTGTGGATTTCTCGATTGCTGCCTCTTTCTGTGCCCAGGTGGCAAATTAGCGTTCCCTTGCCAACTCCTCAGAAACGTCCAATCCTATGTGAGCCGAAGTAGTGCAGGCAGCAACTTGGCGGTAGAACTACTTTTGATTGTGTTTCAGGCCTTGTCATTTTGAACCAGGCGCTTAGGTTTTGAAGTTGCGAGTGCGAAAACACATATTTCCCACGAGAGGCATGCGCGTAAGACCTTTCCTTTCCCTATGAACACCTTTCATTTCGTGAATTGCTTGATGTTTCGCATTAAAAGGTCGAGTAGAAGCCTGGAAGGGTGCTGATTAGCATGCAGAATTCTGTTGTGAGGACCGTGTTGTGGATTTCTCGATTGCTGCCTCTTTCTGTGCCCAGGTGGCTAATTAGCGTTCCCTTGCCAACTTCTCAGAAACGTCCAATCCTCTGTGAGCCGAAGTAGTGCAGGCAGCAACTTGGCGGTAGAACTACTTTTGATTGTGTTTCGGGCCTTGTCATTTTGAACCAGGCGCTTAGGTTTTGAAGTTGCGAGTGTGAAATCACATATTTCCCACGAGAGGGCATGCATGTAAGACCTTTCCTTTCCCTATGAACACCTTTCAATTCGTGAATTGCTTGATGTTTCGCGTTAAAAGGTTGAATAGATGCCTGGAAGGGTGCTGATTAGCATGCAGAATTCTGTTGTGAGGACCGTGGTGTGGATTTCTCGATTGCTGCCTCTTTCTGTGCCCAGGTGGCTAATTAGCGTTCCCTTGCCAACTTCTCAGAAACGTCCAATCCTATATGAGCCGAAGTAGGGCAGGCACCAAACTTGGCGGTAGAACTACTTTTGATTGTGTTTCGGGCCTTGTCGTTTTGAACCAGGCGCTTAGGTTTTGAAGTTGCGAGTGTGAAATCACATATTTCCCACGAGAGGGCATGCATGTAAGACCTTTCCTTTCCCTATGAACACCTTTCAATTCGTGAATTGCTTGATGTTTCGCATTAAAAGGTTGAATAGATGCCTGGAAGGGTGCTGATTAGCATGCAGAATTCTGTCGTGAGGACCGTGTTGTGGATTTCTCGATTGCTGCCTCTTTCTGTGACAAGGTGGCTAATTATCGCTCTCTTGCCGACTTCTCAGAAATATCCAATCCTATGTGAGCCGAAGTATTTCAGGAAGCTCCTGCGGCTTTTGCGGCTTTTGCGGCTCCGGCGGCCTGCGGCTTTTGCGGCTCCAGCGGCTTGCAGCTCGTGACGCAGAGACGCATGTGATAGGTGGATTTGGCAAAAAAGGGTTTTGGAGCTACATTCAACACGTTGCAACATTCCACCTTAGTATTTCCGTAAAACTTGTTTATTATTTTGTAATAGTAGCACTTAATTTTCCATGTTGACCAGTACTCAGACATCATAGTGACAAATCCATGATCTGATTTTACAACTTTACTATCTATTCATTGGTTTTTTCTAGACCAATGTCATGCCCACATGTTGTTCTTAGTTATCGTGGTCGTGTCTCCAAACCACCGGGAATTCTTTTAACATATTGTTAACATTTAACTCTCGCCAAACATGCATGTTTCATTAACGTTGTCAAGGACTTTTGAAACTTGCTAATCTAGCAAAGTAGTGATTCAGAACTTGTTAGCAAACAGTCATCATATCTCATCATCAATAATTCTTTGTATTGCGCATTTAAACGAAACGAATGTTGCTATCAAATAGAACGTCTTACGGTCTTACGCTTTACAATCTTGCATTTATTTCCTTGGGTGCCAAAATCCAACACTGCAATGCACGGGTCTTGCTGCAAAGCAGTCAAGCACTAGCGGTTCATGTGCTCACCCACCCAAAACATGAGCATAAGCGCCTCAACTTAGTTTGTCAGGTGCCAGACTGGCGAAGCAGAGTTTGTTTAGTATGTTTCTCAAGGTATTAGTAACTAAGGCAGCAGAGGCTTTCCATGTGGCAATTTTCTTGGTAGCATTCAACTTGTTATTTTTCCTATGGAACTGCTTCATCCAGGCACCCTGTCTTGTTAGCAATTTGAATGCTATACCCGGCAAGCCCTGCAATCAAAAAGCAAATGCTTCAGCGGACATCGTCATGCAGAAGGTGTGGCCTTGAAGTTGATAGCTGTAGTTTACCAAATTTTAGGGGTATCCCTTAATATTTTTCGGGACCACTGAAATGCTAACCAAGGGGAAATCTATGGATTACCAATGTGTTGTCACGGTGTCACGCCTGCTGGCAGTTTCTAATCAGCCCTAGCTGACTTTTAGTGTCTGGAAGTCGTTGGAAGTTAGGATTTATATCCTATACAATCAGCCGGTACGATTAACATGTCGTTGGGAAATAAGCACGAGGAGGGGAAAGAACGTGCTAGCCAGTGACAATGGCAGTGGATTTGCTGGTGGAGGGCCTTTGCAGCCTGTAACTTCACTTTCCGCCGCTGACAGGGGCTCCTAGCAGGGCCCCGCTGCTACACTTTAAGATGTGCCAATCCATTCACATGAACCCCGCATTTCTCCTGCGTTTTTGTAAGGGCTGGAGTTGGACATGGCATATAAATGCACATAATGGAGATATATGGAGATTGATGGAGTGGAGTGTGCCTAGTGCCAATGTCAATCCAGAAAGAATACGGATGTATACGGTATAGATGTTTAGAAACATCAGTGGCTCCCTCAACCATCCCCAATCCTTACCTGACTTGGCAGTCAGAAAGGTTCCGAGCACCACATTTGGATTCGATCCATTTCTCTCGGCCGCCTGAATGATCATGGCCAAGATTGAGAAGCAGGTGGCTGTTGGGATCGGACGATGTTCCCGGTGTAACGATGACCTCCGTCACTAGCGCAGCAGCACTTTTTCAGCCTCCTATGCAATCAGTAAGTCATGCAAAATTCGGGATGTGGTGACAGTTTCCATCAGTTTCCATGTACCCTCTGGTAATTTAACATAACTATGGAACATCACCATTTTTAATGGGAAAACTCACTATAAATGGTCATTTTCAATAGCTATTTTGACATAACCAGAGGGTAGTGAACATTTCTTCTCTCGTCGATTTTTATTGTCATCCCTCCGAATTTGAGGCGCGTGGAGGCCGAAAAGGGGAGTTTCCGGCCACTGGCAGCTCCAGGTGGTGACCAACCCAGATCTGTCGAAGAGGGTGATGTCTTTGCTCAGCAAGCCCTTTGACCAGGCGCCACTGGGGCTGGGAAGTGACCGTATGTCATCCATTCAAAAAATGTATCAAATAAATAAGTCAATAGATAGATAGATAGAGAGAGGGAGAGAGAGAGATATATATATAAATAGATAAATAAAGAAACTAATAAAATAAATAAGTAAATAAACGTATACAACTACAGAACCTATACTGTATTTCCATTTGACTTAGCCCCACAGAAGCAGCGCCACATGTGCATGCTTCCATCTCGCCCCCGGCACAGCTCGGGCAGGGAGACCTGACGGCGATGGAGAGAGAGAGATACAAATAAAATACCCTCAGCTACTTAAGGTGTAGAGTGCCCCCCTCCAGGGTCAAGGGTAGTCTAGGGGTCTAGATTGATTGGTCCACTAGACCAAAGTAGACCTTTATTTTGACCTTTGTAGACCTAGTTTTTTTTTTTGAGGGGGGTTTTGAGGCTGTCAAAAACATAACAAAAAAAAGCACTATTCTTGAACCCAGCTTTCAGGTTATTTTTTTTGGTTCACCATATATCCCCTATCATGTGGGTTGGAAGGGATTCTGGTTCTGCAGCTTTGTACATTTTTCATTTTTTTTTTGCAGTTCACCCATCCATTTGCATCCGGGGCATGCTGTGCAAAAAACAATCTCAAGCCATGCCATAAGTTCCAAGTCCTGCAAACATACCTACAATTGGGAGAGACACATACTTTCAGAGCCATTTCCTATTGACTGTTGGCAGTGAGGACACTCTTTTCAAAGCTCCGTGAAACATTCCACGACAAGTCTCAGTGATTAATCATTGTTGTTCACACTCCGAATATTGTGCAATTTGTTTGGTGGCCAAAGGTTGATCAAAACCAAAACTTTCCGCATCGCATTTTACTTTCTAACAGCTCGAACCCAACTTCCAAAACATTCAGGTGCCGGCTCAGGGAACCATCACTTTTCAGAGTATAACTCTTGTCAACAAGACACCAAATGGGCCACAATTTCCTGGGATTGCCTGGGATGAGCGGCTGCAAGGAACATGTAGAAATACGTACATACCTACATGCATGCATGCATGCATGCATGCATGCATATATTTATATGTATATGTATACACACACATATATATGTATATATATGTATATATATATGTATGTAATGTAATGTAATGTAATGTAATGTAATGTAATGTAATGTATGTATGTATAATTAATCAATAACAAGGAGGCATCCTAGATAGTGCCCACATGGTGGTTTGTAGAAGTCGAATCAACCCGGTTCTGAATTTTGACCCTATCATCACTTGAGTAGACCCAGTAAGCTGCGGAAATTCAGCTGATCTTCTCATGGTAAGGGAGAGTTTCAAGCCGACAGACAGCTCCATGGATGGTACAGTGAATCACCAGGACATCTAGGACGTGTTTCCCAAACTGGAGAGACTCTTCAAAGTCAATTTTTTTTCGTACCCCCAGGGTGATTTTATCATCCAGCTATTGCTTTGTAGCGCCAGTTTTCGAAAGCATCAGGCGCTGAGGGACTGTGCAGCCTTGAAGGAGTACATCAATTTTCGAAGTCCAGAGGCCTTGGGGCACCGCATGTTGTGCCGATGCCATCTGAGATGGACACAGCTAGACCTAAGGGCAACCCCCATGGAGCATGGAGGACTTGGAGGCCTTGCCCATTGGCTTCCTTGAAGCTGCCAGGAGGCTCAAGCACTGGAAGAAGAGTTTCGAGAGCACTGGCATCTAGAGGTGGGATCCGCCACAGTGTTTGCGCCCCAAGACTTCCCTGGTTCGATGGTTTTTAGTACTGGAAAAATCTTTTGCGTCTTAAGCCGCATGGTAGGAAGAGCAGGTTAGATGGTTTCGAGGAGTCAAATTCCAACAAAATTCCAGTTCCTTGTCTTCTTTCACAATCTGGCCCAGCCTCATGGATCACACTGCACCGCAGCCTGTTCCAAAAAAAATTGGCGCTGCTGCAACCAGCTGGAAGGCGCCGTTGGCCATGCGACAGATACTCGAGGAAGTACTCGATCCCGAGGCCAGAGGGAAATTTCCCATGAAGCCAACAAAACTAGGGAATACAACCGCCAAAATGGGGATGAGACCAATGGTGCTGGAGGATGAAAACAGTGGTAGGTCGGGTCCTGGTCATCCAAGAGTTCAGGATGTGCCTGAGATATACTTCGAATTGCAGATTTTTTCTGTTCCGTGCAGCTATCTCCCTTTTGGTTGTTGGCATTTTTATCCTCGAAGTACAGTGCTCGATTTGTTGGACATGTAATGAGATATCCCAAATTCTTTTTTTCCAAAATGGGTAAACCATCCTAAACCCATGGGCTTCAGTCGAATGACTTGGATGATTCGGGGGCACTCATGAAGTATATATATATATGTATATGACTGTATATGTATTGTTCCATCAAGGGGAAGAACATGGGCATCCCATCAATTACCTTCACCCCATTGACATGTACCCTGAGAATTCTCGTCTAACCCCTATTTGGATCAATTTGGCAAGGTCGAGCTGTTCGTTGGAGGAAGGGAATTTAATCATATCCCACTCTCTCTGGTAGTTAAACATAGCTATGAAAAAATACAACTTTCAGTAGGTTGCAAATGGGCAACTTTGGAGTCCGCAAATTGTTAAATTTCAAGCGGGTCCGGTGACATTCCCCATAATATTCCATGAAATTCCCGTTGTTGTTTGTTAAATCCTATTCAAACCCCATTGAAAGTCCAATTAAAATTCCTTTCAAATCCCATTGAAATCAATGAAAATCCCATTGAAATCCATGAAAAAGCACATTGAAATCCTGTTGAAATCCATGAAAACCTCATTCAATTCCCATGAAAATCTCATTGAAGTCCCATTGAAATGCCATTGGACTCCATGAAAAGCCTATTGAAATCCCATTGAAGTCCATGAACATCTCATTCAAATCCCATTGAAGTCCCATTGAAATCTAGGAAGGTCACATTCAAATCCAATTAAAATTCCATTTGTGAATGTGACGTGACAGGTACAGCATGTGCAAGCAATGAACCTGTTGCAAATGTACCGCCGCTCTGACAGGCACAAGGGTTCTTTGACAGGTGACGACGAGCATCTGTGCATGCATGCCATGTTTCTTTGATGAAGCCCAGTCACTTAGATTGGTGCCGCGGAGCTGATTTGGTTCTGATCCAGGCCCGCGAAATGTGATCATGGGGACCCACTTGCTTCAAGCTGCACGAAGACCCTAGAGAACCTACCAATTCCGAGTTCCTGGAGAACAATGGCAACTCCAATTGGGAATGGAGTGCTGGAGGTGAAAAGGATGGACAGAAGTGGTAGGAGGATGGCCATGGTCAACATGCTAGTGCGTTTGAAGTGATGATCCCTGGTGGAATGTTCCTATAGTGATGACCCCTGGAAGCCATCAGGGGATGGAAAGTTAGATGGTGCCGAATTGATAAGATTTCATGTTGCACACCTTCCCAACACCATTGCTTTACTGCTTTCAACATGGGAAATGGACCGGAAGCTTTGATGCGGCGTCTTCCGGCCGATGGAATTTTAGTGATTGGGGAGGTGCCAGCTGGAATGGTAGCGAAGACGAGAAACCCACCGAAAAACTGTTGTCCCTGAGTTTGATGGTGAAGGATCTAGCGATAGCGACTTAGGAAAGTCCGCTAGGTCCTACATCAGGAAAGTTCGGGTGTGGCTGCGATGTACGAAGATGCCACCCACGCAGCGTGGTCTTGCGCTGTACAATGCCCTCACTGGCCGAGCTTGGATCTATGCGGAGGAGCTCGACGTTGACATCTTGGCGTTGGACTGTGGTGTGGCCTACTTCTTAGAGTGGATCCAGGAACTGTCCAAGATCTCACAGATGATGGGTGAGCTCTTCCGCGGCTGCCGCCGCAAGCAGGAGCAATCTGTTCGAGACTTCAATGTGGAGTTCGAACGGTTGATACTCGGACTTCGTGAAGTTCAGTGCGAATTGCCACCTTTGGTGAAGGCTTGGCTCTACATGGACAAGTTGAAGCTGTCTGAACAAGAAGAAATAGCTCTCCTTGCCAGTGTGAACAATTTCTCTGACTGCAAGAAGTTGCAACAAGCTGCTCTTCTACAAGATCGCGGCCTGCGCCGCACTGGGAGCCACTTTGACTCCAGTCGCGGACATGGCAGGAGGTGACCCGTCAAACCATCCACATGACAAACCAAGGAGAAGGCGAGTCCAGAGATGAGCCGGAGCAGCAACTGTCAGAAGGCGAGGGACCTGGTTGATGAAGCAACCGCTGAAGCTCAACATCATGCGTGCATGACTTACCAGGGTGCGAAAGCCAAGTACCGTGAAACTGTCAAAGGACGCGGTGTCGATCAAGCCGCTCTCGAACAAAGGAGCCAGGAGCGCCTGCGCCTTGCCAAGCAGCGTAGTTTTTGTGCTGCTTGCAAGGGCCGAGGCCACTGGCACAAAGATCCTGTTTGCCCTTTTCGTGGGCAGCGGGATGACTATGTCAAACCTGAGAAAGACACCAGCGAGGCCAAAGAAGCCCACTTGACGGTCCACACGGTCCAGCTGTGCGAGAATGTGAATGAATGCTACATGGCTTCCAACCTTGTGGATGAGAACGCCCATGAGAATGTCGAGGGCAACTCTTTGATGGCCATTATCAACACAGCATGTACCAGAACAGTGGCTGGCTACCGATGGTTTGAAGACTATGTGAAATCCGCCGGCCGAATGGGCATTGACGTTCACACGGTCGACATCAAGGAACACTTCAAGTATGGTGCCTCTAAGGTCTTCACTTCCCTCTTTGCGGTGAAGGCCTGGGTTGCCATCGTTCCAACCCCTTCGCAATTTTGGTAGCGATTGTTCCCTGTAATGTCTTTCTTTTGTTCAGCAGACCCGTTTTGGGATCGTTCAAAATGTGCTACAATGTGGCAGCACAGAAAGTGACACTGGATACCCTGGGCTTGAAAGATTTGCCATTGCAACTTAGCTCCACGGGACATCCGGCTTTGATAGTTTCTGATTTTGGCGCGAGCCAGAATTTGCCGTGTCCAGGTGACATGTCATTTGAAGACAGTGCATACATGCGCGAAGCTGATCAAGGGTTCACTCATCTCTTTTATCCAAAGAAGATTCCTAGGAAGCTCCTTTTTTTGGAAGATCAAAACCCTCTTTGCGGTGCTGGCTTCTTTTGTTGGTGGAAACCGGCAAACCAATCAAGAGATTTTTTGGTGGAGACTTAAATCGGCCCGAGTTCATTCGTGTACATGTGGTGCCACGCAAGCACCGCTTAAATCCGGAACGTTGGAGCACAAGCCTGAGTCATTTGAGAGCACGTCTTCTAGAACAACTACATGGTCAGCGCATCACCAGAGCACATAGCAATATTTGGAAGTTGGACTGACGCATCTTTTCATCAAGTTTTTATTCCCGAGCATGAGATCAACGGTTTGTGAGTTGGTCGCAGCCGCTTTTTGAGGGGAAGTCAAGGCCTGTCCCAACATGCCTGAAAGTCTCTCACGACACCGATGCCAGCCTCGCCATAGAGCATGAAGCGCCCAGCGGAACTGGCTGCCCGCGGAGTGCCAGTGCACACGTGATGGTCTGTGCTGGAGTTGCGCCAAGTGCTGGTGGAGCAACGCCAGGCCGAGAAGCCCGAAGCCAGAGAATGCGCCGAAGGGCATGACAAAGATGTCTCTGGGAGAGCTCACGCAACTGGCTGTCGAGATGCAAGTGCCCAGGCTGGAGAAGCCGACTTGCGGCTTGCCGATGCGTCTGATTCGAGATGCCAAGAGCACCCCTGGGCAAACGGAGTTCCCATTCGGGAAATTGAAGGGTTGGATGTACCACGAAGTGCCAACGGGGTATTTCTATTGGGAGGCTGCGGCCAACAAGAACTCCTCCGACGACCTGGTGCGCCTGACAAATGGGGGGAGACGGAGCTGGACCGCCGCAAGAAGATTGGAGCCCATGTCAAGGACGTGAGCAAGGACCCGGTGATTCCTCCGCCGTCTCTGAAAGAGCTGGCTGGGGAGGGGTCTTCCGACAATTCATGGAGTGCGGTCAGCTCCCCGACCAGATGTTCAGGAAAAGCCCCAGAGGTGATCAGCGACGAGGATTTGGAGGAGGATGCAACCGACTCCAATCTGGAGATCAAGAAGCTGCAGGACCGCATCGCATTGCTGAAGAAGAGGACACCGAATTGAGCGATGGATCGGGCCTTGGTGAGGCTTCTCTGATCTATGAGCATGCCAACATTGAGGCTTTGGTAAAGCCAAAGGTTGGGGAGTATGACAGCGACGACGCCGGCATTGTATAAGAACAGCAAGTATGACGTTTCTGAGTGTGACATCGCTTCTGCCTATGACAAACCTACCAAGTATGTCCTTGTCACTGGAGGTGGTATCGCCTCTGATGAGGATGGCAGCAGCGATGGCAAGTATGAACGGGCGGCACCGGATGTGTCGGAACTTCGTGCTCGAGCTCGTGATGGTGAACGACGCCGCAAGAAGATGCGGCAACCCTTAGCGAAGCGTCCCAGGGGAGAGGCCCAAAGTCTTTGGAAGATTTTGCTCACCTGTTCTCTGATGGTCGGTGCTTGGACTGAAGAGGTCATGGGCGAGCCACTTTGGGATGCATGGGCGGTCTTGCAGCCCAAGCATCATGTGCGAGAAGATCATGCCAGAGCAGAATGCTTGGAGCCCTTCGCAGGCCAGGCTCGGATATCAGGCACCTTTGCAAGACACCGGCATGGCTGCTTGGAGCCCAGAGATCTGTGCTATGATCACGACCTCAAGAGTCCAGGATGAAGTTCTCGATGATTCGATGAGATGATTCGAGAACGGCCAAAACTGGCGTGGGCTGCGCCTCCGTGCGCTTTGCGAGGTCGGTTGTCACACCTCAACCACAGCCGCCAAGCATTGAGGCGTCTTCGAAAACGAGAAGCTGGTTTGGTACGTTTTGTCAGCCGAGTTTTTGAACTGCAGAATCAACTTGGTGTCATTGCCGTGATCGAACCCCAAGGGAAGTGACCTTTGGCGTCATCCTGATCTTCAAAAATTCATTGGCACCTCGGCATCTTTTGCTGATCTTGACATGTGCCAGTATGGGATGCATAGCATGCAAGATGGGCGTCCTTTGAAAAACCCCCTCTCGCTCATGACCAACAGCTTCGATTTTGCCGAGCTCATGCGTGTCAAGTGCAAAGAGGAAACGCACAACCATCGAGCCCTTCAAGGGCCCGACACAGCTTGGTCAGCAACCTGTCTCACCGCATTTGCCAATGGCCAACCGCATCTCCAGTCAGGGCATTTTCCTGAACTATCCCCCCGAATCAAAGCCTGCCCTGCCGCTGCTCCCGGGGTCCGGTAATAGCTCGGTGGTTATGGCGGCGTCCCTCTTCCGACCGGTCCTGGGCTCGATACCCGGGAGCGACACCGAGTTAGACAGGCGGTCAGTTAACCCCTCTCTGCAGTCCGGAAACGGAGAGCCAGGCTCAGAGTAAGTCAGGTTGCTGATCGATAACGCGTCCTCCGCTGCTCCGGGTAAGAAGGAAACAATCCACTACGGAGCTGCTGCCATTTCGCTCAAGGGGAAGGTCAAGCCAGCTGTAGCCTCAACGTTGAAGCGAACTCATCAAAAACCTTGGGCATCCTCCGAACAGTGAGCTGATCCGACATCTGCGACTTGGAGGTGCCGGGGATGATATCGCGCGTGCTGCCGAACACGTGGTGTGCCGAACTTACGAAAGAAGCACCAAAGTGAAGCCAGCACGCGTAGCCCAACCCTGCGTGGCCTTGAACTTTAACCAAGCAGTCGCGGCCGATGTCATTGGGATCGACACTGCCCAGTCCAAGAACCATCCGGCCTTGAAAGTCGCTTTGGCATCAACTTAGCAGGTGGTGGACATTTGGGAAGCACAAAAGTCTAAAGAACTTGGTCGGACATTTTTGGAGAGATGGATCAACTGGGCAGGTGCCCCCAAACATCCTTTGGTCGACCTCGACTCCGGCTTCAAAGACAAGTTCCTGCAGCTCGTGGACCCACGAGCTGCGACCGTTCGTTGTGCGGCCGGGCAAGCCCATTGGCAAAATGGTATATGAACGTCATGGTGGGGCCTGGAAGGCCATTTGGAACAAACTCGTCACCGAAATGAACATCCTGGATGACGAGCTGGCCGAAGCCATAGCATGCACCAGCGATGCCGAGAACCAGCTTCGAAACAAGTCCGGCTATTCACCTCGCCAATGGGTTTTTGGAACACAGCTCAAGATGCCGGGTGGCATGTTTGACAGCGACTTGGGGCGTGAAGAATTCCATGACATCACCGCCGGTGAGAAGATGGGTCATTCACACACCATTCGGGTGCCCGAGCCGCCTTCTTCCAGTGCCAGACAAAAGATGCTTTGGACAGAGCCATGCACCACAAAACCAGAGTGGAAAACCGAAGCTATGAGCCCGGAGAGCTATTCTATGTGCACCGCGAGGTGAAGGAGGGCAAGGGCAAGAAGTCAGCTTCCACTTGGCTGGGTCCAGCCACAATCATGTGCCGAGAAGGACAGAACTACTGGGTCGCTTGGGGAGAACATTGCCTTCTTTGTGCTCCCGAACATTTGCGCACTGCCCGCCAGGTGAGCGAGATGATGCGCCTCAAAGCTGCCATGAGCGATTTGAAGCAGTTTGTGAGAAATGAGGAGGGAGACGTCTTTGAACATATGGCCGTGGACTCCGACAATGTAGGCGACACATGCACCTCCAAAGCTTCCGGAGGTTTCTGACATGGAAATGGCCAATGATGATAGCATGGATCCTATGACCCTAGCTACAGCCAGGGAAATGGAAATTCAATCGCATGTGCGACGTCGACAAGCTCTCGGTGATGTGCCCATGTCGCTCAAGAAGGCATGCTGGCGAGCAAGCGATTTTCATGGCCCGACACGCCATATCAGCCAGAGGCAAAGAGAAGCAGCCCGAGAAAGAGCTGCCATGGCACATGACCCCTGAAGATGAGAAGCCCCTATATGTGGAAGCTGAGAAGAAGCAATGGGACGAGCACGTCTTCATTCGTCTTCTACGGCGCCGTCAAGCCCTTGAGTGTGGAGGAAAGAAAGGCAGAGGCCGAGGCTAGTCCCAACCGCATTTTGTCTTGCCGCATCCTCTACAAAGACAAGAACCACGCCAAGAGAAAATCTGATGCATCAATTCCGCCAAAACCAAAAGCCAGACTTTGCATAGCTGGGCAGCATGATCCAGATCTTGGCCGGATTGGCCTGGTCACTGATGCCCCGACGGCTTCGAGGCACTCCATCATTTTGGCCCTTCAACTCGCGCCCTGCAGAGGCTGGAAGATATCTGTCGGAGACATCAGAACTGCTTTTGTGAATGGCATCCCTGCGCCTCGGAAGTTGTACTTCCGACAACCCAAACGGGAATACCATCATTGCAGCCAGGGCACATCATCGAAGTGCTGAAGGGCGCGTTCGGTCTGAGCACTAGCCCTAAGTGGTGGCTGAAGCTTTCTGGCGACCTCAAGAACATGACAGTTGTCTTTGAGAACAAGACTTACAAGGTCGAACAGAATGTCATCAACCCGTGCGTCTTCCAGTTCATCGAAGCGAGCTCTGACGCTGTGTCAGCTCTTTTGCTAACACACGTCGATGGCTTGATGCTCATGGGGCCACCAGGCTTAGTGGAACATTTGCGGACCGAGCTCAAAAAGATGTTCCCTGTGGAGGATTGGGAAGAGAATCAATTCGAATATGTCGGGTGCGAGTATGGCTGCAAGCCTGATCGCGTCGACGTGAAACAGAAGGTCTATGCCAACAACCGTGCGGAGAAAGTGAACCTGTCGCCCTCGAAGAAGCACGATGACTTAGCGCCAGCTGAACAGTCGGATTGAAGAAAACCATAGAAAACCGCACGGTGATAGGTTGCCTGTCATTGGCTTGCGAAGCAGACAAGACCCGACATACAGTTCCAAGTTTGCCAAGCACAACGCAAGCAACGAAACCCTACGCATGCGAATGTGAAGGAGACAAACAAGATCGTCACAGATGCCCTCAAGTTCACAGACAATGGCATCGCGCTCCATGGCATGGCCGAGGAAGACATTTGCATCCTCGCATATGATGATGCTGCTTGGGGCAATACAAGCCCTGATGGTGATGATGATCATGAAGCTAGGAATGGGAATCATGAAGTGGCGTCACAGCTAGGCTCATTGATCCTCATCGCAGAGAACAAGTGCTTGACCCCGGAAGGGGGTCAATTCAGCGCAGTTGATTGGAAAAACAAAGCTGCCCAGCGTGTTTGTAGATCAACATTCGCTGGACCATGGCATGCGGCAACGCCTACAGCAACGGGCATCCGTTTTCCTGACCATCTTGCTGGAGAAAAGATTCCCATGTCACAGACTGTAGAAGTCTGTACGATCATATCCATCGTGAAGGAGTTCTTGAGCTCCCACAGAGAAGAGGCTTGCCATTGACTTGGCGGGCATATGTCAAGCCCTTTCCATAGAGGCCCGTCATCAGTGGAAACAGCGTTTTGGTATCTCTGGAAAACCGACACCCGAGAGGCCTTTGAGACCACCTCTTCACTGGCTTCCAACCGGCGACCAACTCGCTGATGTTCTCACCAAGCGCTTACGTGCTGATGAGTAGTGGAGTCGTACTGGCACTTCCGCTGAGAGATCATGCACGGGGAGTTGAAAATGCCAGGATTTTACCAATGTGAATGTGACATGACAGGTACAGCATGTGCAAGCAATGAACATGTTGCAAATGTACCACCGCCCTGACAGGCACAAGGGTTCTTTGACAGGTGAAAATGAGCGTCTGTGCGCGCATGCCATGTTTCTTTGCTGAAGTCCAGTCACTTAGACCATTGAAACCCCGTTCAAATCCCATTTAAATCCCATTGACTCGGGCCCTTTTTCGGATCCACTCCGGCCGCCAGGTTGCGGCAGCCAATGTGGCGGCCACCGAGGCCTTGTTGGCCGAGAAAGCTCCGTTGTTGGAAGAGGAGGCGGTGTAACCAACCAGCGCTGGGAGAAACAATTGAGGGTACCATGGGGTACCAATTTCCAGTAGCATATCTATATCTCTATATCTGAAATCTGAAACTATATATATATATAAATATATTTATATAATATCTGTATCTATGTATGTCCATTTATGCATAGGGATGTGGGGTTCTTTTTTGGACCACAGCAAGTGAGTAATTGAATATCAAACAACCTTGAACCAATTTTAGCATGGGAAACTTCAACATCATTTATACATAGAGATGTGGGGTTTACAAAAAAAATGTGACATCTCCGAAACCATGGTTGATTTGGGGGACCACCCATTCTAGGAACCCTGCATGTGGAAAATATGGAAAATCACGTCTTGTGGGGTCAAAGTGGTCAAAGTACCAACAGTATCTGAGGTTTTTGTTTAGTTAACAGTTAACATTTAATATTGTATTGTTATTGGTCGGAGATTTTTGATGTCTCCATCTGAAATATTCGCCAGGGCCAGGGAGGATATCGATGGTTGGCTTTCAAGTCGTGCTTCGACCTTAGCTGTGCTCGGCTCACAGCTGGATGCTGCTCCCATGGCCCGTGGCCCTTGGGACTTCCGCGGCTGGCGCGCTGGTCCAAGTGGCCTGCCACAAGGACCCCACGTGAAAATCTTGAAAATCATAGAACAGTCAACCAATGATATGTCTAGTATGATCATCAGATTCATTAGATTGTCAACTAATATTATCGTTTAACCAACTAAAAGACATTGACAATCATAAAATAACGTTCACGTGAGGCATGACATGCAATGATGATCACTATTAATGATTGCCGTAATCATATGTAGTGATGATATCACGGACAGCTTCGCGGTCTCAGCAGGCACAGCTGCAGTGCCGTACTGTCCTTCAGTCTGCACCTAGATAGGCCGGGCCACATCGGCTGTGCACCAGATGGCCCTGGAACTGGTGAAATCTCAAAGCAAAGCCTGGCAACGTGCAATCACTCTGCAAGAGAGTCTAATATAGATTCCCCCAGTTGGCTTGTACACTCGGAGATCCACTTTGCTCAGTTTCGAAAACAGCACATCAGGACCTGCCAAACAAAACCCCACAAACCAAACCAATGTATCGCATGACATAAGCCAAAGTGGGTCTCTCAAATCGGGAATCCAAAGTGCAAAGTTCGGTCAAACCACTGCCGGCATTCTGAAAAGGAAACAAATGGAAACAACAAATTGAAATCCCTAACCAGCCAAATGGATAACTCCTCAAAACACAATGGATAGACCGCGGTGGCCTCATCGACATGTGCGACAAGGTGGCTGACCAAAGCCAAAATGAAATAAGGCAGCAAATCAACAGGCCGGCTGTCTGAGTTGCAAATCAAATCCCTGGCATCAGAATTGTACAAGTCGCCAAAAGATGGCTGCAACCCATCAACAAAACCAAACAGTGCCCTCAGGTGGCTCAGTCGGTACTTCAGGCCCATTGGCCGCAACTTTGAAATAGAACGCCTGCAGCTGCCGCATTCGTGCCGCGCTCTGCTCAACGTGAAGGTTCGTGTCATCTCTAAGTTGAAGAAACTCACGTGGGTGACAGAAGTTGTATTGTCCAGTGGCAAAGTCAATTCGGTCATTCCAGAATCTAACCCAGTCCTCAAATGGATCTTGCAGCTTGTTCGCGTCCAAATGACTGGGAACCCAATGTGGCACAAGTTCAAGCTGTCCAAGTTGATGCAGCAACTGGTGGACTCTCTCCCAAATGTCCTGGTTGGACTGATCTCCTATCACCCCAGACTGGAGAATATGGGAGATGCGGTCGGCTACATACTTTGAATCTGTCCACATGTGCATGCTGACTCCAAAATGAACCTGCCCTTCAATGGTGCTCAACGCCGCCAACAGCTCTGCCCTATCGCTCGATTGATTGAGCCCTGGATCGTGTCCCATTGCCACCACCTCAGCAGATGTAGCATTCAGGCACCCCCAAGCAGCAAGCTTGGTGGGCAATGTCGCCGCCGTGGCCGTGCCATCTGTGAAGACATGCTGCACCCCCTCCACTGGCTTTGAAAAATGAAAAATCTCGTGGTGTCAGGAAGAAGTAAAAGCGCCCTCTTCCAGTCCGCAGCATATGGCGACCGTGATGGCAGCAAATGAGAACAAAGGGCTTGCGAGTCAAACTGGTGTTGATCCTGCCAACCTGCAATTGTTGCACGCACATTGGCAAGTCACGCATCGTCTTCCGAGAAGCCACTTGGCGAGCCACGTGCTGAAGCCAAGCATCCCAAAACACAGAAATCAGCAGCGAGGCATCCATAGCCAGCAAGTTGAGATGGCATTGATCATGTTCAATCAAAAAAGTGGGCTCTACCCTCCATCCTATCTGCCCTAAACCCACCAAAAGTTGTGAAAAGGGGCCACTAAAAAGAGAACCGTCAAAATTCTACATGAAACTTTTCCATTCATTCAGCAGCCTGGGTTCTTTTCGCAGCAGCCGGACAAAAGCGCCAACACTGTGCTGCAAACGCCGCCAGCTCGGATCAGCAGTCGGAGTGGTTGACAGTGTATGTCGAAGAAGGCCATTGACCCCCGCTTTCGGAAGCCGCAAAGCCCTCATCGCCTGTGACCGCAGTTTATCCAAATGGTGCTCGCCCATGCAGGATCCATTGATTCCATGGAGCGCAGCTGACCAGAAAACACTTGGCACCGCAGCCAACTTCTGCCGCAGTGGCGCGCGGCTGGCTTTCAAACGTTGCCATTTGCCTGGGAGTTTGCTGATCCTCTTCTGTTGAAGGCCAGTAAAGCGCTTTCGAGTGAACGACAGCGCTCCTCCCAACTCCATTTCGCTTTCCACCTTTTGAAAAGGAAGGATGGTCAGTTGTTTGCGCTGAAGAATTCAATGACGCACGCCAGCCCAGTCGCAAGAAGGCCCGGCACTGAGGTCAAAAGGCTCAAATTGTCCACAAAGCTCAGTGCTCTAACTGATGGGCTGTATGCCTTTATGTAGAGGTGCCATGCAAATCATGATGGTAATATTGCTTAAATCATGATGATTGTGAAAAACCGCAATATGATATAAGCCGCGTATGTATGTCTATAGTTGTATGACATTTAGGTCCTTTTCGTATCCAAAATCGGTGGAGACATTGGCGCCAGGACCGAGCGCCAGCCGCCTTGCTGGCCATTGCCTCCCCGGGATGGGACCCCGGCTGCGTGGACCCAGCAGGTCGGCGGGTTTTCTCTTCGGGGCCGGGGCGGGGCCACAGAGGGCGCCATCCTTTCAGCTTCTTGGCCCAGTGGACGACTTCTAAGACTAAGATCCTGATGATCTATGACCCACTGATAATCTTTTTTTTTTTTTGGGGGGGGTTGTTGAATTGAATCATATGTCATCATTAGTTTTGTTGGTTGGGATGATTCTTAGTGATTGAATTTGATTGAGATCCGTAGTTTTGGTTTTTGGTTGGGATGTTGGCCCCCAGTCACTCTTGCAGCCGGGAAACTCGTCCCAGGCTCCATCTGAGTTCTCTTCCAACCTGGCTGCTACTGGCTGGGACGACTCTGCTGGCGATCGGCTTTCCGCTGGTCATGGCAGCCCTGTGTGGGAGACCTGGCGCTTGGGGCAGGTTTTCTTTACCCTCCGGTAGCCAATGGAAGTTTACAGCGGGGAAAATCATCCAGAAATGGGGGATTGGCACTGGCCATGATTTGGAGATGTTTGAGTACCAGAGGGCCAAAGGGTAGCAGTTCTTAGCCGATACGCAAGTGGCAGAGGCACTTGCGTCTTAATTTGATGGAGCACTGCGTAGGCAAGTTGATGCAAAGGATCAGCCAGAGGCCATCAGTGCCTGAAAAATGGCACATGATTTGGAGATGGGATGCTCACCCGGCCTAGGACCAAAGCGAGACGAGCGACCATGGGTGGAAAGGGTGGTGGGCTACGGGCGGCCTATGGCATTGCCAGGCGTACCATCTTGGATTCCAAGAATCGGGCCAAATCAGCTGGCTTTATGCTACTTGACATTTACATTTTTGAGAGGTTGGACTTAGAAGTCATCCTGACACGCGGTGGAAATTCATAAAACACTACAGAGCGCCATTGTGAGGAAAGGTGCGTTTTTTGGTCTAGACTTTTTCTTTGGGCGTGTGTTGATGTTTGAAAGAGAGTTGCGCGGTCGCTCAAACTACAGTACATCTTAAATCGTAAATCAATGTAAATCAAGTGAGGGATTGTTTCATGGACTGTCAGCAGGTGTTTTTGGTTGTAGCTCCGCTGCAGGAGCTATGGACAATGGCAATTTTTAATGGTTAAATCATCTATAAATGGATAATTTCCATAGCTATGTTAATGTTCATGCCAAAGATGGTTTCATTTTCGCCGAAGCCGGCCCAATGACTTCTGTTTCCAATCTTGGTCGGCATGATCCCCGTTGCGGCATATTTTTCTAATCCGTTCCCCACCAAAGTATGAAATGAACCTTCAAGAACCCTGTTGATTGATGATGAGATTATACCACCCAATAACAAAGACCCGGGCAAGCCGGCGGCGGAAGTTTCCCAAACATAAATGACCTATAGTTCAAAGACACCCTGTCCCGACCGTGTCCTTCCCTCGACACTCCACACCTCACACTGCACACTGCACTCTTCGCACTCCAAACTTCAAACTTCACACTCCACACTTCAAACTCCACACTTCTCACTTCTCACTGCTTCCTTCACACTCCAAACCTCACACTTCACACTTCACATTTCACACTGCACACTTCACACTTCACAGTCCACACTTCACACTTCACACTTCACAGTCCACACTTCTCACTTCGCACTTCACACTTCACACTTCACACTCCACATTTCACACTTCTCACTTCTCACTGCTTCCTTCGCACTCCAAACTTCACACTTCTCACTTCGCACTTCACACTCCACACTTCACAGTCCACACTTCACACTTCTCACTTCACACTTCTCACTTCTCACTGCTTCCTTCACACTCCAAACTTCACACTTCTCACTTCGCACTTCACACTCCACACTTCACAGTCCACACTTCACACTTCTCACTTCTCACTGCTTCCTTCACACTCCAAACCTCACACTTCACACTTCACACTTCACACTGCGCTCTTCGCACTCCAAACTTAAACTTCACACTTCACACTTCTCACTTCCCACTGCTTCCTTCACACTGCACACTTCACACTGCACTCTTCACGCCCCACACTTCACACTGCTCTAAACCTACGTGCAACAAAAAAACACGAGCGCCAAAATGGAGAAAACCATCATAACAAATCCATTTCGCAGCCTTCATGCAGCCAGTCCAAGACGATTTACGAGATCCAGCTGCAAAAGACAATAGTATTACGCATGCAGCCAAAGCAAGAAGTAACCTTGACGCAGCCATTCCAATGCGATCTGCGGAGACTGAGTTGCAAAGCACAAGAGAACTACGCGCAATGGCGTCGGAAATTGTAGCTCCAAAACCGGATGGATCTCGACGCCAGAGCGAAAAAAAGACGATTTTGAAGCACTTTTTAAAAGGATTTTTGGAAGGAAAATCACTAGCGCCAAAATGGAGAAAATCTGATGACAAATCACTGTCGCAGCCTTCATGCAGCCACTCCAATACGATTTACGAAGTCCAGCTGCAAAAGACAATAGTATTACGCATGCAGCCACAGCATGAAGCAACCTGGACGCAGCCATTACAATGCGACCTGCGGGGACTGAGTTGCAAAACACAATAGAACTACGCGCAACGGCGTCGGAAATTGTAGCTCCAAAACCGGATCTCGACGCCAAAGCGAAAAAAAGACGATTTTGAAGCACTTTTTACAAGGATTTTTAGAAGGAAAATCACTAGCTCCCTTCAAAACTCCATCGGCAACTCATCCACCAGCACCACTTGCAATCCCATTTACATTGCGGGAACGATCCTACAGTTGCAAATCACAATGGAATTCTGTCGGCCGCACATGCACGAAAAACACTTGAAACCCCATTTACAATGCGGAACTGATCCGACCATGTCCGAGAATGATCCGACCATGGTCCGAGAATGATCCGACCACACACGAGACCGTCTCGCATCCGTCGCACCGCAGAGGTAGATCATCGACGTTCGGGGACGCACTTTGTCTGGAAAAACACAGGGTTTCGTGCATCTGCTATCTCTCAAAAACGCATTTCGTGCGAGACTTCCTTCAAAACTCCATCGGCAACTCATCCACCAGCACCACTTGCAATCCCATTTACAGTGAGGGAACGATCCTAGAGTTGCAAATCACAATGCAATTCCATCAGCAACTCATCCACCAGCACCACTTGCATCCCATTTACAATGCGGGAACGATCCGACAGTTGCAAATCACAATGGAATTCTGTCGACCACACATGCACGAAAAACAGTTGAAACCCCATTTACAATGCGGAACCGATCCGACCATGATCCGAGAATATCCGCCCATGATCCGACCACACACGAGACCGTCTCGCACCCGTCGCACCGCAGATGTAGATCATCGAGGTTCGGGGACGGACTTTGTATGGAAAAACATAGGCTTTCGTGCATCTGCTATCTCTCAAAAACGCATTTCGTGCGAGACTTCCTCCAAAACTCCATCGGCAACTCCTCCACCAGCACCACTTGCAATCCCATTTACAGTGAGGGAACGATCCTACAGTTGCAAATCACAATGGAATTCCATCGGCAACTCATCCACCAGCACCACTTGCAATCCGATTTGCATTGCGGGAACGATCCTACAGTTACAAATCACAATGGAATTCTGTCGACCGCAAATGCACGAAACACAGGTGAAACCCCATTTACAATGCGGAACCGATCCGAGACCGATCCGACCATGATCCGCCCATGATCCGACCGCACACGAGACCGTCTCGCACCCGTCGCACCGCAGAGGTAGATCATCGACGTTCGGGGACGGACTTTGTATGGAAAAACATAGGGTTTCGTGCATCTGCTATCTCTCAAAAACGCATTTCGTGCGAGACTTCCTCCAAAACTCCATCGGCAACTCCTCCACTAGCACCACTTGCAATCCCATTTACAGTGAGGGAACAATTTCTTTGCTAACTCTTTCTGTGACTAACTCTTTCCCTCACTAACTCTTTCTTTGACTAACTCTTTCCCTGACTAACTGTTTCTTTGCTAACTCTTTCTTTGACTAACTCTTTCCCTCACTAACTCTTTCTTTGACTGACTCTTTCCCTCACTAACTCTTTCTTTGACTAACTCTTTCCCTGACTAACTGTTTCTTTGACTACTACTCTTTCCCTTGACTAACTCTTTCTTTGACTAACTCTTCCCTGACTAACTGTTTCTTTGCTAACTCTTTCCCTCTTTCCCTCACTAACTCTTTCTTTGACTAACTCTTTCCCTGACTAACTCTTTCTTTGACTAACTCTTTGTTTGACTAACTCTTTCTTTGACTAACTCTTTCCCTGACTAACTCTTTCTTTGACTAACTCTTTCTTGACTAACTCTTTCTTTGACTAACTCTTTCTTTGACTAACTCTTTCCCTGACTAACTGTTTCTTTGCTAACTCTTTCCTAACTCTTTCACTAACTGTTTCTTTGACTAACTCTTTCTTGACTAACTCTTTCTTTGACTAACTCTTTCCCTGTTTCTTTGACTAACTCTTTCTTTTTCTTTGACTAACTCTTTCTAACTCTTTCTTTGACTAACTCTTTCCTAACTCCTGACTAACTGTTTCTTTGACTAACTCTTTCTTTGACTAACTCTTTCCCTGACTAACTGTTTCTTTGACTAACTCTTTCTTTGACTAACTCTTTCTTTGACTAACTCTTTCCTTGACTAACTCTTTCTTTGACTAACTCTTTCCCTGACTAACTGTTTCTTTGACTAACTCTTTCTTTGACTAACTCTTTCCCTGACTAACTGTTTCTTTGACTAACTCTTTCTTTGACTAACTCTTTCCCTCACTAACTCTTTCTTTGACTAACTTTTTTCTTTGCTAACTCTTTCTTTGACTACCTCTATATCCTGACTAACTCTTTCTTTGACTAACTCTTTCCCTCACTAACTCTTTCTTTGACTAACTTGTTTCTTTGCTAACTCTTTCTTTGACTACCTCATATATCCTGACTAACTCTTTCTTTGACTAACTCTTTCCCTCACTAACTCTTTCTTGGACTACTCTTTCCCTCACTAACTCTTTCTTTGACTAACTCTTTCCCTCACTAACTCTTTCTTTGACTAACTCTTTCCCTGACTAACTGTTTCTTTGACTAACTCTTTCTTTGACTAACTCTTTCTTTGACTAACTCTTTCCCTCACTAACTCTTTCTTTGACAAACTCTTTCCCTGACTAACTGTTTCTTTGACTAACTCTTTCTTTGACTAACTCTTTCCCTCACTAACTCTTTCTTTGACTAACTCTTTCCCTCACTAACTCTTTCTTTGACTAACTCTTTCCCTGACTAACTGTTTCTTTGCTAACTCTTTCTTTGACTAACTCTTTCTTTGACTAACTCTTTCCCTCACTAACTCTTTCTTTGACTAACTCTTTCCCTGACTACCTGTTTCTTTGACTAACTCTTTCTTTGACTAACTCTTTCCCTGACGAACTCTTTCTTTGACTAACTCTTTCCCTGACATTCTAAAAGTCCGTAACACGGAAGTTTCTCCCCCTAAACTTCCTTTGAGTAGTTATATGATCACCACCCTTTTCGAGGGTGTAAGCAAGGGGGACGTACCCAGAATGTAAGCTGCAGTTTTGTGGAATACCTTGCCATTCGGGGTGCCACAAACTTTTAGTTTACATTTTTGATTTTCTGCAACTCTGCAGCTATTTGCAGACCTTTAGACTATCATTCCTTTTTTGTACCTTCTTACATTTTTTTTCAAACATGTAGCTTACATTTTAGACGCCGCTTAGGTTTTTTGAAAAAAGCCAGGGGATTTACTCAAAATGCAGATTGCAGTTAGAGCGTGCTTTGAAAAATAAATGTATGCTAACATTTGCCTCCCTCTGCTAGAAAGTACGTCTAACATGTAGCTTACATTTAGGGTATGTCCCCCTATCTGAAAAGGGTAGTGATATTATAGTTATATGGTGATTTCATGTGATTTATATTCACTGCTCAGATAACCTGAGGCTTTATGGTGATATATGGTGCTTTAATGGTGATTTATGGTGATTTATGTTCAAATACCCAAACCAAAGCTGAGGGTTTTGCTCTTCTCTGCCCTGGCCTTTGCGAATGTGGCCGCCGTCGCGCAATCCTTCGCCCAGCGGGACTACATGACCGCCCTGGCCAGCAGGGATAGCGTGCCCCGGCAGCTCTCCTACGTGGAGAAAGGTGGGGTTGTCCCATATATATATATATATGTATATATATGTATATATATATATATCAATGGGAATTCCAGGATCCTAAAATGGAGGTACCTACCATATATAAGGCCTATGTAAGGCCTATGTAAGGGAATATCCCCCCCAAATATGGCCTTATATGGTACAGTACCTCCACTTTAGGATCCTGGAATGGCCATTGAATATATATATATATAACTAACAAGTCATAACGATTTGTGGATTCTCCGAGCAAGGGACCCCGACAGATATAGACAGATCCGCGACTCAGCCAGGGGTTTCTCATCGTTTCTGGGGGGTGCTTTGCAGATGGGAGGTTCGGAACAAGTAACCCCCAGCTAGGGAAATGAATAAATTCAGCATGGCTTTGGATGCCCCAAGCTGACAAGATTGTAGGTGATCATGGTGTATATTGTCTGGCGCGGGATTTCACAACCATCCACACACGATGGCGCCCCCCAGTTTTAAGTTGGTTTATAAACCCCATTGGCTAGTTCGTTATTTCTACCACAAACCATAGTTCAGCCACTTGTAAGGCAACTTAGCTATCTTGGGGCACCATCCTGTATCTTTATCCAGGCTTCCTACTGCCGCTCAGGTGGCCTTTTTTAGCAAGCTCCGCCGCGCCGTTTTCCTGCTGGTGCTGATGATGCCAGCGCGCTCCCTGGCGGAGTTTGCGGCTGGCGGCTTATCTCAGAAACTTAGAGTTGAACTTTGGGTGGGTAAAAAACATCTGGGGTTGGGTCAAAACCTATCATACGATATTCAGGGATGAAGATCCATTTGCCAGCTATTCTGGTGTTCAAGGGAACAGGGTTTTAACCCACAGCCAGATTTTTTTGGTGCCCCATACATCAAAATAGCTAGATGTTAATGATCATGATACATACACTAATTATGAATAATAGGTTCAATAACAAGCAAAATAGACAGACACCCAAACAAATCAATAGATATTGTAATTTTCATCATTTGAAGATTATGTGGTGTTTAAAGTGCAAATCCCCATTGCCGAAGTATCTGTTGGTCCTCAAATGGATTGAACCACAGCGGCCCCTGGCTCCAAGATTTTTTTCCCCATTTGATGCATCAGCGCACCATCACAGCTCTCAGGATTTGGAGAGATACCTTGACCCTCTCTCTTCTGAACGATTATTTTCATCCAAAGGCCGGACATAGTGAGACTTCTTAGGGCCCGCCCCGGGTGAAGCGATGAGCGCATGGAACGACGTCATCGCATGATGGCCATCATGGTCATGCATGGTGATCCCCAGCATCTTCATCTTCTTCACCAGCACCCCAGGACCCCAGGACCCCAGGACCCCAGGACCCCAGGACCCCAGGACCCCAGCACCACCACAGCATCATCATCATCATCATCATCAGCATCATCATCATCATCATCACCATCATCAGCAGCATCAGCGTCGTCATCATCATCATCATCAGCATCAGCATCATCATGATCAGCAGCATCAGCGTCGTCATCATCATCATCATTATCATCATCATCATCACCACCATCATCATCATCACCATCATCATCACCATCATCACCATCATCATCATCATCATCAGCAGCATCATCATCACCATCATCAGCAGCATCAGCGTCATCATCACCATCAGCATCAGCATCATCATCAGCATCATCATCATCATCACCAGCATCATCATCATCATCAGCAGCATCAGCGTCGTTATCATCATCATCATCATCATCACCATCATCATCATCAGCATCATCATCACCATCATCATCACCATCATCATCATCATCATCTTCACAATCAGCATCATCATCAGCATCATCATCATCAGCATCATCATCATCATCATCATCATTATTTTTTCATCATCAGCATCAGCATCATCATTTTCATCATCATCATCATCATCAGCATCACCATCAGCAGCATCAGCATCATCATCATCATCATCATCATCAGCATCAGCATCAGGATTTTTCAGCATTTGTCAGCATGTATCAGCACTTATCAGAATTTATCAGCTTTTATCAGCATTCATCAGCATTTATCATTATTTATCCGCATTTATCAGCATTTATCATCATCATCATCATCAGCAGCATCGGCATCATCATCCTCATCCTCATCCTCATCCTCATCCTCATCCTCCTCCTCCTCCTCCTCATCATCATCATCATCAGCATCAGCATCAGCATTTGTCAGCATTTGTCAGCATGTATCAGCACTTATCAGAATTTATCAGCTTTTATCAGCATTCATCAGCATTTATCATTATTTATCCGCATTTATCAGCATTTATCATCATCATCATCATCATCATCAGCAGCATCGGCATCATCATCCTCATCCTCATCCTCATCCTCCTCCTCCGCCTCCTCCTCATCATCATCATCATCGTCATCATCATCATCATCATCATCGCAGATCAGAACCCTAGCCTCAACCCTCCGTCGGTTTGGCAGGTGGTCTACTGGCTGCGGCGCGGCGGCAATGTGGTGGACCCCGACATGCGCATCGCGGTGGAAGCGGGGCACTTCACGGAGATGTTGGTCCTTCTGGCGCCCCGGGCTGGACTACACGAGGGTCATCCCACTCAGGAACTGCTTAGTGGCTGGGTTTAGCCCCAATTAAGCACTTATATATTCCGGATAGCCGCAGTAACTTCTTAACTAGGCTTATTCCCAACAGCGAATCTGTTAGGTTTCATTCTCTGGGGCCGGGGACTGGTGACACGAAAATGTACGCCTCGAAAAAGCGGAGCAGTCTTGGAATCTTGCTAGAACCTTTCGCTGTTGGGTTGCAAAGCTGGGCTAATGAACCAGTTACTAAGTGGGATGATCCTCAAGTGGGGCCATAATTTGTTTTGGCTGACATATTTTGAAGAAAGATGAAAAAATCATTTCTTTATTGGTCCCCAGTTGTTCAACGCCTCCAGGCTCCCACACTGGTTGCTGAGTGATGGGTTTGATCCGCACAGGAACCGAGAATTCGTGGCCGCTTTCATTTTTTCTGGTATCACCTCAGCATATTACAGTATAGCACCCCCCAAACATCACTTTAAACATAGAAACCTCATATCCAACTGAAATAGTTGTAATCACACCTTATCTACACTTAAATGGGGGTTTTCTAGGCGAATTTCTGCGACAGGTCCGTGACACCTTCGAAAATTCCTTGAAGTTGATGGGTTTCCTGGGAGTGGTCTACAGTATCTCCCATGTTCTCTTCATCGTCATGGCCGCCTATGCTTTCCTGGGCGCCTTCGCAACAGTGACCTTGTTCGGGGGTCCACTGGTGCAGCTGGACCGAAACATCCGCTCACAGGAGGTGGATCGGTGGAGGGGTGACTTTGAGTAGACTTTGAGGATTTTTCTGCAAAGTTTCCGGGCTTTCATTGACCCTCACGGAGAATGCCAAACTGTACTTGCATATACTGTATTTGCCATATCTTACTATACTATACCAATTCTTCCAGTTTTTTAGGGTTGTACTGTCAATTTCACAATTTCAGGTGTCGACATGGTGGTTTGGCCCACCTTTCGCACGTATACCAGTTAAGACGTGGGAGTCGTGGCTTTCGAAGCCCAGGTGCAATTTCATTTTTCTTGGTATAGTTGAAGAGTTTCCAAATTTCTGATGGCTCATTGCTAGCAGTAGCAGTACGAGTGACACATGGGTGTAGCTGACCAAACGGAACCTGAAAGTCTAGGCGATGAAGAGAAAGAAAATCACCATCATCATCCTGCAAATGAAAAAGTACGTTTTTGGGACTCCCCGGCCCCGAAGTTTTATCAAGTTTTGGTACAAACATTCCCATTTCGTTGGCGCGACAGTGCGTTGCAGGCAACCTTCCGCAAGTCTATCTCCAGGCCGGGTGGCTTCTTTCGTCGAATGGGATCTTCAGTTTGGGCTACATCAGTCATATCTGGAAAACTAGGTACTCCAGGGTTCATGCCCGGAGGAGTTTTCACCGTATGTGAATATGATGCTCATTTAATTGCCACCGGAGATTCCATCTTTGGTGACAAATTCCCCTCAGTCAGAAAACTTTCGCCAATATTTCACCATACCAAAACAGCATGGCTATTTCCCAGGTTCCATGCCTTTGTTGGTGGCTTCAGTCCCCACTCATTGATTCATACCACCCAACTTTCTGTTGTTGCGTTTTTTTGTGCTTGCGGACCCCAAAATCATCCAAAATCACCCAAAATCATCCAAAATCATCCAAAATCATCCAAAATCATCCAAAATCATCCAAAATCATCCAAAATCATCCAAAATCATCCAAAATCATCCAAAGTCATCCAAAGTCATCCAAGGACATCCAAAATCATCCAAAATCACCCAAAATCATCCAAAGTCATCCAAAGTCATCCAAAATCATCCAAAATCACCCAAAATCATCCAAAATCATCCAAAGTCATCCAAAGTCATCCAAAATCATCCAAAATCACCCAAAATCATCCAAAATCATCCAAAGTCATCCAAAGACATCCAAAATCATCCAAAATCTCCCAAAATCATCCAAAGTCATCCAAAGTCATCCAAAATCATCCAAAATCATCCAAAGTCACCCAAAATCATCCAAAATCATCCAAAGTCATCCAAAATCAGCTAAAATCATCCAAAATCATCCAAAATCATCCAAAATCACCCAAAATCATCCAAAATCATCCAGAGTCATCCAAAATCATCTGAAATCTATTTCTGCTGTTTTTTCGCAAAATCGTTTCAGTTGCTTACGAACCCCCAATTCAATTCTGTAGACATCCCTTTCGCCACCTCCTCGTAGTTCCGAGGTGCTTGGAGCGAGCCGAACCCCTGTGCCTCTGCGCCGGGGAAGCGTCGGAGGGGATGGAAGCGCGGGGGCGCTATGAAAGGCCGGGCAGGATCAGACAGGCGGTGCTTGGCATGAAACCTAGTAATTCTATGTAATTCTGGGAACATCATTGGGGTATGTGATATATCTCATCCTGGGAAAATGGGGAGGTATCATTGGGATATATTTTTCAATATGCCCGCCAGTAAATTAACAAAGGTATGGAAATCTAGGGTTGTTTCCATTTCCTGTTCGCAACTGGTCTACATTCTCCAGATTGTTTTTTGTTAGTTTATTGGAGTTGGGGTGAGGCCAACAATGATGTGGGATGAAACCTGCTACCACTGATAATCAAATTTGGCTACCCCATGTTAATCCAAGTTGACACTGTTCAATCATGTTCAATCCCCCGCTTCCAGTAGTCTTCCACTGGAATTTGCTACGCTTCGGCTAATATTATCCCACCACACATAGGGTGACAGGGGGATTTTCCCAGCCAGTCAGGCTGCGGCGGCAGCAATGGGCTCGCGTCTGGGGACGGACCAGCCTAGGGACCTTTCGCGAATGCTTCGGCTGGGCGGCATATCTTCTGCCGGTCGCCATTGTAGCACCGTTATGGCTGCAGGACAGAGCCGGGTGGGGCTCAAGACCATGGGAATCCTCGTTTGGATGGAGTATATAAATATAAATATAATTAAACATAAATATAAATATGAATATGAATATGAATATGACTATGAATATGACTATAAATATAATTAAAGAAATAGCTGTAAATATAAAAAATATTATATACTTGTATATGTATAAATATATTCATACACATAGATGAAGGATCGTTTTTTTTTCGAGTTTTTGATTTCAACATGTGTCTAATTTACTCTTTGGAGTATCGACACTTCGGCAGCTGGGACTTGGCAGCAAGTAGCAGGACAAAGTGCCTTTTGGAACTGTGGCGCAGGCGGGGCTCCAGATGCATGTATACTGTGTGTGTATATATATATATGTATATCAGTAGTCTCTCTCTCTCTCTCTATATATATATATACTTATATACTTATATACTTATATAGATATATAGATATATAGTAATTACTATATAATTAGAATACGGTATTGATATTTTTGGTGGTATTATGCATCGCGCAAAAATGTCGTGTTTATTTGCAACTTATTTTGTTAGATGGATGGGAGGCCTTTCTGCCATACTTGCTTGTTAAAGGGATGTGGGTCAAAGCAAAACGCCAGCAGAATGTGTAGATGACATCCCAAAATTGGCAAATATATCAATTGGATGTTCCTCAGGTTGCGTACTGGCTCACCCAAACAATTTTGCATATGCCAGTGACTTTTCTTTGTGGAATTTCATTCCTCAAAAGTTGGATGTTTGCTTGTGATTCGTTTTTTTTGGGGAAATCGCTTGGAAATACCTAGATGTTCTCTTCTCCCACAAGACTCCCATGATCGAATTTAAGGCGACTTCTTGGAATCATCAAAGAACAATCCTTTTTCTGACACGTATCATCAAAATGACCTTTTTTGAAATTCAAGCAAACACCATTTGTTCACCGCCGCAATTTGTTGCACCAGCCGCTGCCAACATTTTGTTGGTTGTCCAACCAAAATGATCCGGCCCCATTGATGGTTTGTCAGGTTTCGTTGTTTCTGGAGGCGTGTTGATAAATAACCTGGTAGTAAATCCAATATGAAATGGTGTTGAAGATACAAATGACACCAGGTTAAACACCATTTCATATAGGTTAAACAATGTTAAACACCATTAAACAACTGCCAGCACGTGACCTTTCTTTCACCGTGAATCACCAGCCCAGCGCCAGGCGGTCATGGCGTTCCACATCTCCCTGGACGCCCTGACGGTGGTGGTGCGCAAGTTCCGCAGCGTCTCAGCGCTGATGGCGGAAGGCAGTCGCTTGGAGGGCCTGGTGCAGGCCTTGTGCCCTGGCGCTGGTGGGCTCCTGGTGGCTTTCTGCTTAGTATGTAAAAGGTGGGACGAAACATGGGAAAACCATGGGGAACGCCACTACATGATCGTAAATGACCTGATGAATTGCTGTAAGTGTGTTGCCCTGGGGAGCGATTTGAACTCAAGAAAATGGGGTTGGTTCTTGGATTCACCACGCTATCAACATCACTTTTTCGCGCCCAGAATCAGGACATGTCAAGACCCGTGAATGATTGTGTGCATGGATTCATGAGGAGATGGATCAGCGCAGATTTGGGGTTTTGAGGGGCAAACATGGGAGAGAGGGTCTAGAAAGAGGTGTGATAATCGATGGACTTAGACTGCCATGTATGTGGGATTTTCATGGATTTTCCAATTTGCCTGGAGATTGGATCAGGAGGATTCCTATGAAACATCAAACCGTAAAGGATGTTCTCAGCAAAAACCGGGTCATACCGTCCCATGGGACCCCCTATGGGGCCTCCAACACATGCGGCTTTTAAAGTCTTTCAAGCCTGAACAAATCATCACTTCTCGGATTTTTGGAATCCCCACCGGCTTCCGGCTGGATAGCCCATCATGTTTTTTTTTCCCAAAATAATAGCACACTCCCAAAACAATCAAACTTAATGAAACCATTCCCGTTTATGCAACTCTGCATCAATTTCTGAGGTCCACTTCGATGGCTGCGGCACAACGGCCGCAGCCACTGCCCGAAGAAGTGCCGGGGCCGGAAGTTCAAGCTGCGGGGGTGGCCCTGCATTTGCCCAACGGCTCCTGGCCATGCATTGGGCCGCCTGAACTGCCGAGGGCGCACAGAATGGCCATGCAAAGCCGTTGGTCTTCGTTGGCTCCTCTGAGATAGTAATAAACTCACAATACAACATGTGATTGTGCCAGTATGTGTATTTCAACTCCGATGGCCAGTGGATAGCGGAGGGTTCACCTCCGATGGCCCATGAATAGTGGAGAGCATGCCAGACAACTTCCATGGAGAGGTGCCTCAACCACCAAGGCTCCCAGCTCTATGAGGATTTGTCTTTTCAGATCAAGGACGGGCAACGCCTCATAATCCTGGGGCCTTCGGGAGCTGGAAAAACTACCCTGATTCGAGCACTTGCAGGCCAGAGGGGTGGACGATGGTGGATTTTTTTGGGACTCTGGTGGATGCTTGTGGCTGGTTGTGTGTAAAGGCCACCCTCAAAAATAGGGTGGTGGAATGCTGAAAAATGACTCTAGCACTATAATTGTTGGTGGACTTGATTTCGAACCATGGTGCAATCCTCAATGCGGCTAAAACATGACTTTTGAACCAGGACTCGGTTTCGAAGACATTGGTTTCCATGCTTTCCCGCCAGCAAGCCTTCACAGCATGTCCTAAGGACTCTGGTCAGACGGAGATGGTGATCTGCGAGTTTCAAGCTCCACGGTCTTCTTGCCCCAGGACCCTTACATCCCGGAGGGCTCTTTGAGGTGCCTCGGGCGCCTCAGGGGGCCTCGGGATAGGGATGGGCCACTGGAACTCTCGCGCCAGGCGCGTGCTCACCTTTCCGGAGGAAGCGTGGCAGTCGTGGGGGTCTGGTCATTACTGGGCTGGGCACTGCAAACTCTTTGCTGGTTTCAGGAAGTGTATGCTCTGGATGGTGCATCGACAACTAACTACTACGAAGATCCAATACATTCAACTTTCGTTTGGGGGGATTAAGGTGTTTAATATTGGGAAGGGATGATTTCAGTTGGTTTAATCCAATCAAAAAAGGGAACTCATCCGTTTGTATTGTAAGATATGCATAGCCGTGTTCAACAGGATGAATATCAATTTCAAGGTTAAACTGAACTCTGTGTAAATGATGCCACCATTTTGCTTGTTAGTTCGATCACTGTTCAATATCAGGGGCTAAGTGGGGTGAACAAAAGGCATTGTCGCGGATGGTATAATCACATTTTCGCTGCACTTTAGTCGCCAGTCGATTTTGGTAGGTACAAACCATTGAACCTGACATAGCCATACATAACCTGACTAAACATCAGCAATGTTCAAATGGTCACAGTCTCCAAATCCCAGGAGTCGCCCCAAGTTTCGGCTCTCCCAAGGTGCACTTCTCGGATCAGCAGATCCTGGCGTGCGCGGAGCGCGCGCGTCTGCAGGAGGTGTTGCAGCGCTTCGGCCAGAGCCTAGAGGCGGAAGCCGACTGGGAAACAGCGCCGTGGAAATCCAAGCCAGGGCGGGGCTATGAGGATCGTGAAGGGAACACATTTTAGGATACTGGGTTTAATATCTCCTCGTTGGAATTTCCACTACAAAAGTAGTGGACTTGGGTCCTATGTAAAATAGGTTTTTCAATGCTTTAATGATGTTTTAATATGTTTTACAGTGACAGTCGTGGGTGAAGGGTGAAGAGGAGCATTTTTTTTCAAGATATTTTTTAAGTTTTTTTTTTTGAGGCTGAAACATGAGGATGAAACTGAGTGAACCTGGACTGTGGGATGAGGGCTAACTACAGATGCATGGACTCCAACATGTCATTTCAGTTGAATCAGTAGAACATATCCTTCAGCAGTCTGGCTTGGAAGAGGAAATTCCACAATTCTACAGTCATTTACGGAGAAAATTTCCAACGGAATTTCCCACTGCCATGTTTGATCACTGGGTGGGCACATGCAGTAAATGTTCTTGAGATTCTAATGTGACATAGGCAAAGCGAAGCCACTCAGAGGGTTTGGGGGCGGCAACATGTCACAAGTGCAGCTTCCGCTTGACATGATATCCTGCTGCAGCATGTGCTGGACCTCCTTCCTGCACGCACTTTTGAAGATGTACATGATGTACATCGATGTACTCGTTGGAATCAACCCCATTGAATCCTTTGAATCCCTTGGAATGATAGTCCGAGAGATGCGGCCAGCCAGGCAGAAACGGTCTTGAAGAGAACTTGTCACTTTTTGAACGCAGAGACAAGTCGCATCAAGTCGCCCTACCCCTAACCGCCCAAACCGCCCAAACCGCCCAAACCGCCCAAACCGCCCAAACCGCCCTAACCACCATCACCATGCTTCAACCTATAGATTTGTGGCCTGAGGAATTTTTAACAACCCAAAAAAAAATTACTTTACTTCGAGTGATCCCCACCATGACATTTATCGATTTGTTACTGGCAAATCTTCTGGCATTCTATCTGACATATCTTCTGGCATTCGATCTGGCATATCTTCTGGCATTCTATCTGGCAAATCTTCTGGCATTCTATCTGGCAAACATTCTGGCACTTTATCTGGCATACCTTCTGGCATTCTATCTGGCATATCTTCTGGCATTCTATCTGGTATATCTTCTGATACCTTCTGGCATTCTATCTGGCATATCTTCTGGGATTCTATCTGGCATATCTCATGGCATTTTATCTGGCATATCTTCTGACATTCTATCTGGCATATCTTCTGACATTCTTTCCGGCATATCTTCTGACATTCTGTCTGGCATATCTTCTGACATTCTTTCTGACATTCTTTCTGGCATTCTATCTGGCATATCTTCTGACATTCTATCTGACATCTTTTCTCACATTCTTCCCGTTGAGGTCCGGCAGTGTCCACTGCGATCTGGAACTTGGTTGAGGTCCGGCAGTGCCCACTGCGATCTGGAAGTCGCGGTTGGGGTCCGGCAGTACCCACTGCGATCTGGAAGTCGCGGTTGAGGTCCGGCAGTGCCCACTGGGATCTGGAGCTCGCAGTGGAGGTCCGGCTGTGCCCACTGGGATCTGGACTGCGAGGAGGAGGCGGCGGGCGAGGAGGCGGAGGAGGCGGAGGTGGAGGCGGAGGAGGCGGAGGCGGAGGAGGAGGAGGAGAACAGCTCTGATAAAATCTAACAACCCTCACCTGGCACAACTGTGGTTTTCATGGAAAACCATTGAACAAGATGGTGGATTTTATGGTGATTTGACCAACCCTAATGGGGGAAATTGATTGGGACTCAATAGGGAATAAATCAATGGGATTACCAATCACACTTTATCATAATAAGCCACGGCCAATAGAGGTTTATGAACTTGGGTGTAGCTCTTGAAATTGGACTGTGGTTATTATGACCCCCGAATGGTTGGTTAATGGATCATTTGTGGCAGTTTGATTACCAGTGACTACCAGAAGTTATGGTCCATTCATACTCCATGAATATCCCATGACTATCCCATGAACTCAACCCGCTCAGGTGCTGAGCCGCGGTGAGAAGCAGCGCTGCGCCTTCTGTCGCTTGCTCCTGCTGCGGCCCCGCGTGGCCGTGTTGGACGAAGCCACCTCGTCTCTGGACGAAGCTACCGAAGGGGCGCTTTACCAGGAGCTGGATGCCCAGCAGGGCCCTGAAGCTTGGAAGGAAGGGTCAATTACGGTTAAGAGATCCTGAAGATCTATGAAGATCCCTCATTTTTTGGGAAATCTGGCTGAAAACCAACAGTTTGGCAAAGTTCTTGGCAGGATTGGGATTGGGAGCATCATGGAGGTCATTGATTTGAGACACGGGAGGATAAGTTTAGCAGTTTTCTGCGGGCGCAGGATATGTCACACTTCTTGCAATGTTCTGTGGGGCCGTTGCTGAGTGGTGTTCCATGAGGAATCAGATGTAACCTGAGGTGTTGTTTATGCATGCTTTGTAGCTGGCTTACCCACCCTTCATTTGCAAAACATGTGCCAACTTTGATCATGTATCATGAGATTGCGTAGCTCCAACCTGATTCCAAAAAAATATTCAAATATCGTTTGATATCGTTTGTTTTCTATTCGTACTTGAGATGACTCACAAATGACTAACTATAAGGCCTATTAAGGCCTTGCCTTGCCATTTTTTGGGGTTGGAACCACCAGCCAACAGCCTTGCTGCCGCTCTGCTTCAAGGTGAGCGTAGTGTCCATTAGCCATCGTCCAGCACTTTCGCGATTTCACACCCACATCCTCCGCTACCAGGAGAAACTGAACTCCCCTGGCGGTTCAGTGGAAAACCCGAGTGCCGGCCCATCCCAAGGGGGTGTCTGGACGTTTGAAGCCTTGGGCGATGGGCAAAGGCCCCATCCAGTTGCGAAAAAACTGGGGCGGCGGCAACTTTGGATGCGCAGCTGCTGTAGTTTTGAGATTTATCGAAGGCGGCTCCAATGTGGTCAGCTGAAGCATGACTCAAATCAGTTCTACTGTAGACTGTACAATCTGTACATTGTTCACCGCTCGCTGACCTGGGTTCTCGTCTGGCAGGGGTCGCCGTCCTTGAGAGAACAGGCCGAAGGTGGCTTTCAGGTGAGGAATTGCGACGGGGATCTGTTCTCTGGCCACGGTGAGCACCGCAAATTCCCATAGGATTGGCACGTCGCAGGCAGATTGTTTGTAAAACACCCGGGGTCAGCATGGAAATAGCTAGGCTTCAGAAGACTACACAGTGAAGGGCTTTCATTGATAGTTCATAGTCGTAGCCGATGAACTTCAATCCCGCTGATTGATAAGATGATGAACAGAATGCAGCCTCTGATATGGGTACCGTTCGGCCACCCACCAGCAATCAGCATAGACATGGACTTTCTTTGGCTGCGAATGACTAGTTGCTCTGGCAGGGTCATGTCCCAGAAAAGGTTGAAGGGAATTTTGGCAGCGACCTCCTATATGATCTATATATTCAATGACAACCCATGCTTTACTGTCGAGCGGGGTCAGGAGGGATCTGTCCGAGACAATGATTCGGACTACCGTGGTCCACGGGAAAATCCGGCGCAAGGCACCGATCTCAGGGGACTTCAGTAGCTTTACCGGGCGAAAGGGAGGGACCTAATGGCAACCCCAAACTAAAAACCCTGGCTGAAATGGGCAGCTCTGCACCAAACAAGCTATTTTCATGGCAACAAAAAGGAACCCGCCAACTGGATTGAGCAGTTTGGCATTTTTTAAAAAATATGTGTTTCGATGATATCCGGATCCATTGATTCCACGCATCCACTTGCCTATTGCCTCACCCAGCTGCTCCGCAGTAAATGGATGTAATTATTGCTAGTTTGTAGCTAGCCGCCACTACGCTTCTAGTAGCTAGTGAAAAGCCGAATTCATTAACCCGCTGCACCTGAAATCTTCCCGTAGGCTTTTAGACAGTCAGTTCTTTCGCTGCGGTGCATGATTGTTTGATTCCTTGAGGCTTCCTTAGAGATCCCTCTAGGTCAATGGCCAACCGGGCTGTTTGCAGTCCTGGTAGGTATGCCTCCCATTGATGACGAGGAGGAGGCCCCCTTTGCCGATGTCAATGTGACCGCCACGATCGCCACTGGGCATCAGCTAGGCCTTAGGAGCTACACATGGCACCCGACCGGGGGGTTGTGCATTGTGGACTTCACAGGTAAAGTCCATTTCAGATATTTGGGATTATCTGGGGAGTTAAGTAGCCATGAAAAAAGCACATATGAATATTTTTTTGGGTGGCGGTGTTGCGGTGTCATTCATCAAACACGTTTTTTCCTATAAATCGCATGCAGCCTGCCAAGGACAAGCTTTTGGCCTTGCCTTTTGAGAGCGCTATGGCAGGGTGCAAGGAACTTCGCGCTTATGTGTCTTGATCCGCAGATCACACTGATCGCCAATGGACAAACATATATATATATATATACTTTTTTTTCTCCCCGGAATTCCACTATCTCTTGCCGTCTCTTCCTACATGTGTACATATAGTGCAGACACATGTACATGTGATATAATATATGATATATGATGATATACATATATGATAATATATGATAGTATAACCTATGATAATATATAATAATATATGATAATATATGATAATATATGATAATAAGATATGATAATATATGATAAGATATGGTACTATATGATAATATATGATAATATAGATATAAGATACTATGATATAACGTAATATAGTACAATGTAATATAACAAACAATATAAAAGAAGCATAAAATCAACTAATACAAAAATAAGACAATATCATATCGTATAATACTCGTATCATGTCATACAATGTGTAATGTAGTATAGTATGATATGATGAAATATTCTTTTTTTTAGAAACAATATAACGCAATATTACACAATATAATGCAATATAACATGATATAGTGTAACATAATAAAATATAATATGATATAATATAGTATAATTGCTATGCGTGTGTAAATAGATAAATAAATACACACACACATATATATATATATATATAACATGTTTTCATATTCAAAAACCCGCACATTCAAGTTGACAACCCTCAGAGCTGCATGGCCCAGCAAGGTTTTTAGTCCAGAACGCAGCAAAGAAGAGATCTCGGAGCTGGAGGCATCCAAAGAGCAGGGCCCTGCAGAATCTCTGGAAATCCATGGTGGATTTTCCATCTCGTTCTGTTAGTTTACTATGTTTACTGGAACAAAGGGAACAGACCGGAGGGCCCAGTAAAATAAGACGTTCTCTTCAGAGCAGTCGACGGAGTGATTTTGATCCGTGGCTTATTGGCCACTGATCCACCAGTTGCTCTTTCTGTAACGCCATCGCCACTTCCGCCAAAGCATTTAGACATATGGAGACGGAAACCCAAACCCTCTTAGTTTCCCAGAAATGGTTAGATATGGTTAGATGGTTCAGGATGGTTCATTTGTAGGAAACCTGACCTTGGAGGTCCATGTTTGATTCTATGTCTAAACCCGCACGCAATGGTGTTTCACATGTTTTGCCACACTGTTGTGCTGTGGATGCTATGGCTGTTGTACCACCAACGCCAAAGCCTTCCCTTGGCCGTCGTTCAATTTTTCCGGGCCACAAGGATTTTGCTGCCAGTTTCCATCTTGTAAGATGAGGATTTCAGGCTGCTTCCATCCATATTAAACTGGAAATCAGTTGGCGAAAATCTTTGGTTCCCAAATGACCAAATGGCTACCAAATAATAAATGCCATTAAATGTATTGAATTGCTTGAACTTGTTTTTTTTCGTGTAGCCAAGCGTTTCTGGACCCCTGGTTGAGAGGTCGGTCCAGGTCAAACAGGTCAACCAGTCGCTGCGCCAGGTGGAGTTTCGGGAGTCCTGGAGCCCGGAAGCGCCTCCAGAACTCCGGGAGCTACTGGACTGACCCCCCCCGCAGCCAGCCCCCAAAAACCCGTTGCAGGATGGCGGAACTGTACACAATGGTCCACACTAGGCAGACTGTGCATTCGCCAGTGTGGGTGATTATAATAATCAACCATCCCCCAAAATCATCCCAACATCAGAATTTTTATAGGTGCTATGACAACCATCCCCAAATGATAGAGTTATTATTGGGTTAGACGATGTTAAACTCATAGAATTGGATGATGGGAAAATTTACAGGAAACCCCTATATTTGATGGTAAAAACCATGGTTTCCTGTAGATTTTCCCTTAAACCAATCCATTGATAAACGGGGATTACCACATGAACGGGTCTGGGAATTGGGTCTGTCCCTGAGGAGGAGCTTTTGTTCCCCGAGATCGCGAAGCGTAAAGCAGCGGCTGCAGCGGGATCCATGTCTAAGCTGTAGACCGGCCGGAAAGGCCCCGAGTTTGTGAGATTTTGGTGCTTGGAACTGGGACTATTATTGGGAATATTTGCCAAAGTAAATCTGCAAGGATTATTTGCCAAAATAGGCGCGACATATGAACCTTTAGGAAGTGATGGTGGCTCAAAATAGCTAAAACATGGTTCGCTGCACTTACTTCAACTGTTTCCCCACCTTTCATGGTACCAATATATTTGTGTGTCAAAACGTAAGGCTTAGGTGCCTGCATCATTCTTTTTGGTCATACTATTTGCTAATTCAATCCAATAATGCAAAACACCAAATTGATCACGTCTTGTTGCCTGGTTTGATTATCAGAGGGCATTTGCACTATCAAAAACCCTCAATTTTTTGGATCAAGAAACTTGGTTTACCTCATATATAATCACATATATATATATCTGCGTGTGTGTGCTTCCTTCAAGTTCTCCTTCAAAGCAAGTCAATAAGTTATGATGGTAACATTTTTCAAAACAACATTACAGTTTGGGGCGGTCGTTTTCCCAGCCGCGTCTTAGCAGACCCGTTGGCCCAACAAGTGGGACCGCCAGCAGCAGTGCCTGAAGCAAAAAACAGATGGGCGAAAGCCTGGTGGGTGGTGTGTTCCATCTCTCCAGGGTGTTCGTGTTTCTGTTTCTGTTTGTGGTGGTGTTATGTTGTTGTTGTTGTTGCTGCTGGATCACGGGGACAACGAAACCTCAACGTATTCGAGCAGGACTAAAAACTGTAGCGTGTTGACGCGAAGATCCTTCAGACAAGGCTTGCATCATGATTGACCAGCCTCGGTGGCTATATTTCTGGCCTATTGGTGACGAAAACATCTGTTTGAAACTAGGATGGAACCCTTTCCAGATTGCTCAAAATGGGTTGAGAAGTGGATTCTTCTCTTGGAAACTACACTTTCCAGATCTTTCCATCACTTTCCAGATTCCAAGGCATTGGGTTTCCGTTCTTTCTTCCTAGCCTTCGGGCACCGTGCCCAGGTTGCTGTGGGAAAGGTGGGCCAATGTCGTTTTCGCTGAGGCCACCCTTTGCGCCAGTGGGGTGCTGTTTCGAAAAATGATGACAATGTGAAAATCGAACGCAGTTTCCATGGTTAACAGCTTTTATGATTTGCAGTTTCTTATTATTTTAATTGGATGTGTTTATTTTTGCTCATTTTTTGGGTGCATTTTTGATCGTTTTAGGTGCTGGGGCAGCTGCCATGACTGGCCACTTTGTGTGATATGGGCAGACGACCCCAAGTACCTGGCGACAGTTGTGCCTTTTTTCGAATTGCTCAGCTTGGATGATCATCCCCATTTGCGTTTGGGTTTCTAAATAAATAAATATATATATATATATATATATTCTGTAGATTCGCAGTTCCAAGGCCTGCCGGAACTCAAGTAGGGCTAGGGCCTACCAACCTCCAATCAAGGTTTACACCGTTGACCCTCCGGTGTCAAATGCGGCCTGGCTCCTTCCCAGCGCGCCACGCGACACCATGGGGCCGCGGAAACGGGATCGCTCCAAGACGCCGGAGGCGAGGGGAGAACTCCACAACCTGGGAGATCATGAAGACCAACACTAAATCCCAATCGTTTCCACTAAATTTTTGAAACGGTGAGCCACATGGTTCAACCCGCCATTCAATCACAATTTTTCAACATACTCTTAATTTCCCACTATTTTTGTTGGTGAAATATGGTGAACCCACCATTAAATCACAACTTTACAGCAGAGGTGCCATGGGAGCTGCTACCGAACGGCAACTCCATTGGCGTCCACGCAGGTGGGAAGAAGGGGGCAACATGGAGATCGAATGGAAATCATGGGAAGATATGGGAAAATATAGAGAAATCCCACTTAAGTGGAGGTTTTAATGGGCAATTGATCTATAGTATGGGTTATTCATCGGTATAAGTATGGGAAAAAAACGCAAGGTCAGCCACCTAGTGGTGACAATACGTACTGTTTGGATGAATTATCATGACCTCACTATGAGGTAACTGGAATGAGGGTTGGATTGCCGGAGTCATCCCCAAATTGGCTTTATTTCACGAAGTCAGATGGAAATGGGTAGGATGGGTGTGGCTGAACATTTGGTATCTCACAATACATCCCAATACATTCTTTTTGATAGGGAGAATAGGGGAATGAACCTTCAATGGACATATATAGTGGATCTAGCAATACCCGAGCTACCTAGTTTCAGACATATCCATATGGTGCCCATTGATATTAATTGATTTATAAATCCTTGCATATCCTTACAATAGGCACATCATGTATTGGTAGATCCGATCCCAGGATCAAGGACAACCCAGCCCCAGGTCACTCGCGATCAAGATCGCGCGGTGCCTTCGACATGACCCACATAAAAGCTGGGCAGCTTTTGAGCAGTGGCTGCTAAACCCCTGTTGGTTGATGATTAGTTCGGGGATTATACTGCCCAATCTATCTATCTATCTACCTATCTATCTATCTATCTATATATACATATACACATATTGGGGATTATAATGATCCAAGAACGGGGAATCCCTATTAACCAGCCAGTATCATGGACTGATGATGGTTAAAAGAATGGTGGTCCAATGGTGACGGTTGCTCCAAAACGCATGGTTTTTAATACCCCAAGATCAGCCCATGGAGACGGGCATGGCTGGCGACTGGATCCCCAGAAGGCGTCCGGAAACAAAACTTGCGGGCTTTATTTTATTTTGTTTCCGCAGTTTCAAATAGGGGTACTTTCTAAATTTTTTTATACCTAATAATAAGTCCCAGTTGAGTTTATATACTTGGTTTTCATCCCATCGTGTTGATTCAATTCCAAAATTTCTTATTTTTAAGCCAAGTTTCTTGGTCAAACACTTTCCTGGGTGAACCTCATATTTCCAGTCCAAGATTTACTCGTCGTGGTAGACCGCCAGAAACCATCCCCAAGTCATCGCCATCCAAGACCGCGCTGCCAACGGCAAGAACGGCCACGCGCGGGCGCCCGCGCCCGCGCCCGCGCCGGACCCGGCGTTACTGGCAGCGCAGGCCGCCGAAGTCGAACGTGGCTTGGGAGCGCAAAGTATAGGTGGCCTTGACGTGTGAAGTGGTGTAGAAAATACGGATTTGACCCACAAAACATGGTGTTTTAAACCATAGGAGGATCCATAGAAGTTGAGATGGACTAATTATAGAAAATTATGGGGTTTAGGCATCAACTGGCTTGAGAAATTGAGGATTCAGAAACCACAGAAATGATGATTGAATGGCGGTTTTTACAGGGGGGCTGTAACCAAGAAACATGAGAGTTTGACCAAGCATAGTTGGGATTTGACCAATGAAACCGAGAGCTTACATGACCGACAAAAGATATGAGATTTAACCGAATTAACCAACAAACGGGTGGGATTCAGCTCATGACAAAATATAGTAGTCATGTGCGGTTTAACAAATAGAAATTCCGGAGGCACCAAAAACATCCAAATCAGACAATTGGGGATGTCAGGATGGGTCAAAAGCGAGAAGTTTTGGGTCAAAATCTTGTACCCGTTTAACGATGGATCCGGCAGTGGAGAATCATCCGCAGATGATTGTCCTACATTTCCGAAATAACAATTTGTGTTTCCTTGGCAAGAGATGTTTGACCACTGGCAGGAAATCCATTGGTGGATAGCACCCTCCCATCTTCAATAAACAGTGGTTTCTTAATCTGGGGTTAAAAACTTAGGGAGTCGATCTTGGATTTCATAGACTTTGGAATCTTTTGATTGTTGTGAGCTATATTTTATAGTATATAAGATGCATATATATATATGATCACTTATTGACGGTTGGTTGGTAGGAATAAGTGGGTCAATCTCCAGCTCGGGGCACTTGCTGCGATCGCGTCATCTCCTTGCTCTTGTTCTTTTATTTGATTGGAAGGATCTGCGAAAGAATTTGAACTGATCATTCTTTATTTTATTTACTGAGTTGGAAAGATCTGTGAGAGGAATTGATTTGATCTTGTGCCCGATCGGGCTCGTTTGTGAATTGAGCATTCATTGGGATCAGGGTCAGATCTCAATGCCATTTTGGCTCAAGATCTGACCCACCTTGATCGATCATTTCTTTTGGTGGGCCTGGGACGTTCTCCCCACCACCTCGTTCTGCACTTTCAGCTATGGCAAACTACGGTCGTAGCCGAGATCAGTGGGGACAAGATCGAAGAGGTGGTGGTCAATGGGGAGGAGGTTCTGGCAATAGAGCTGGCAACCTGGCTCACAACCCCTATGAGGTGCGCATGGCTCGGTGCAACGAGTCGATCGCCGAGTGCGAGGGTGAAGCGCAGGACACTTCGATCATCATGATTGACAACAGAGATGATCGTATGGTGTCGCCTTTTCAGGCATGGCTGGTCAGTGAGATTATGGCCAATGCGGCCAGCTCCATCAACGTGCTCACCGAGCGCGACCAGGTCATGCCGCCGAATTCTGGATTTCACCTCAGCCTGTTCGGCAACTACACCTTGGATGGGATCAAGGCAGTGGTAGTGATTTCTGTGGAGAGCGAGACTGGCTCTACATGTGCTGGATGGGATGGTCGCACTGCTGCGGCGCTCGCCCATCCAGCTTTCCAGCCGTTCACCTGGCCGATGCTTCGAGACACATCAGCAAGCTACACTGATGTGAAGATCTACAACGGCAATGAGATTCTTTTCCACTGGATCCTGAGGGGGTATCGCTCTGATACCGATCTGACCGTTCAGCAGCAGTTTGTGGACGAGTACCTCGTTCGAGAAGTCTGCAGAGGCAAGCCGCGCCTCTCGGTTGTGATCGCAGTTTTCGTGGGCTGGCGAGTGTCGGTCTTCAGTTACGAATGTGGAGGCCGGACTTACTCGATCGGGCCCCAAGGTGCTGTGGTCGCTGGAGACTCTGCTCGTTCGAGATTCGAGCTTAGATGCTGCAAAAGGTCATCAGAAGACGCGGTTGGGAATGACGCCGATCGCATTGAGTTCAGGTACCGGGATGCCAACAACCGCATTGACTTGAAATGCTCAAGGACGTCAGTTCCAGGTACCTGGCTCACAGTGTCCCACATTTCAGGGCCTACGCTGATCAACACCATCAAGTCGGTTCGAGAGAACCGTGCCCGGGTCGAAGGGCCAGAGCAGACTGAGCAGTTTGCTCAATTGGCTGCGATCCACCAAGACTGGTGGAAAGCTTCTTGGGCCAAAGATGAGGATCAGATTGGCAGCTATGTGACGTTCGTCGAAGGCTTGGACGAGGGCAACTTCCACGTCATTGCCCGCTCGAAGTTGATGGTTCGTGAGGGTCAAGTGGTGCCAACTCATGCACTGGCTGAGATGCAACATGTGGGGGGCGTGACAGCTCCCACCGGCCCCCCATCTTTGACTGCTGGGGCGTGGCTGGACTCGAGCGAGCAGGCTACCCACGAAGATCACGATGAAGCAGCTGCTAGTTCAGAAGCCGTGGTCACGGTACAGAAGAGGGCGGGGTACGAGCTCACCCAGAGATCGTTTACCGCACGCCATCATCAAGAAGGCACACGTGGTCACATGGTGGATGAAGAGCGAGACAGGGCTCGAACAGATCGGCGATTTGCTCGATCAACAGCTCACCTCACTCCTGCCTTGTTCAGGGACGAGATGGAGCGCCGGGTCTACGTGGAGTCGACTGCAACCATTGAGGAGGTCGACACAGCTGCTCCCCACGTGAAGAAGCCAGAGAAAGTTCCGCTGAGTTCACCGACAGTGGAGTTTGGGCCATCGGAAGTGATGCAAGCTCCTGGATCGACGCCACAGTCGTTCGGGCCTCAGACGACGGCAAAGAGCGATGAGAAGAAGGGCGCAGACAAGGCCGAGGACGTCTAGATCAAGGAGGTCTCTGCGGTGATCAGTTGGAGTCAGATCGTTTTTGTATATTTTCCATAATTTTCAGAGTTCGTTTTCAGAGACATTTTAACAGAGGGTCTGCAGAATGAGCGGATCAGCTGGCAGTCCGAACGAGCTCACATTTTCCTTTTTCCAATGGTCTTGCATGAGGTTTGATCAACCTGATCTTTTGTTGGTCATGCAAGACTCAATTTAGGCGACGACTGTCCGTGAGGGACGGAAAAAGGCGGCACGGTAGTGGTGATCACAGCCGGAGCGCCAATGGTCATGTCGCTCTTGAACGTGGTTTGATCAGTCCCACGATGATTTCATTTGTTGATTGATTTTCTGCAGTTATGTTCTTTTTATTTTCAATTGGGGCAAGGGCTTGATCATGCCTTTCCGATCACAGGTCCTCATGCCGATCAAGCCGTTCAGATCATTGCATGCTGATCAAGTCGTGATAGGATCATCTCATTAGATGTATTTCATTTCATTCATCTCTGCGGCAAGTGATCACGCCATCATGATTATGGGCAGGGCTAAGGGTAAATCAGCTGATCATGCTGTCCGGGTCCTCACGCTGTTCATGCCGTTAGGGTCATGTGATCATGCAGTTCTTTTTCACCTGGTTGGTTGGTTGGTCCCGTAGCTTGATCATTGGTTGACGGTTCCATCCGCCCCCATCATGGTGATCACTGTCATGATCATGACGGTATCATTCGTCACACTTGCGTGTCGGCGGCATTGGAAGATCCCTCCAAGCTTGCCCGACGCTGCAGGTCAGATCCTCATCCCGGGGCGAGGGGCGATCGATCCGGAGCCCCAGCCTGCTCAAGAGAGATGGATCGGTCGATTTACCGGTTCTTGTGTCTCCCTATTTTCGATAAGGGTTTTAGATCTGTTTTGGTTGAGCTGAATCTTGATAAGATCGAGATGTGGCTCGCCCTTTCGGATAGTTCCCATGGTACAGCTGATCATAAGCTGTCGGAGATCCTCCCAGCGCTGACCAAGAAGCAAGAGGTTGCTGACAAGATCCTGCAGCGGCTAGATATGGTTAACATCTTAGCTTCTATAATTTCTAGATCTACTGAAAAGATTCAGCAGGAGATCGCAACAGATCTTGGCTATGGTTCAGCCGAACCGCCTCGTGCAGGTGTGAAGCGCAGCTCGGCTGATGCTCCGATAGCCGCGCCAGCTCCCAAGGCTCTTGGTGCAAAGCCAGCCGGGTTGGGACCGGTAGAGGAGGTCACCTCACTTCAGAGTGTTGAGCTCTCTGAACGTAGAAAGTGGGGAGCCAGGCTCAGTGCGATCAGCACCAAGGCAGGGGCTGCGGCTGGGATCAATGACCAGAGCCGCTGTACTGGTCTGATGCCAGAGGAAGCAGCTCGCTTGAAGACCATGTCTTTCGAAGCTGGCGGCTTTCGCACAATACGCCAAAACGTTCGTTACTGGGAGAAGTTTGACGAGTGGGCAACTGCTCATGGACTTCGTGTTTATCCCCCAACGATCGTGGCGGTTATGCGTTACAGCCTGTACTTGAAAGATCAAGGGTGCGGGCCTTCTATCCTCCCAGCTTTCAAATATGCAGTTGGGTGGGTTTGCAAGCGGTTGGTCATGCCGCTGCCCAATTTGGCAGACCCGCAGCTCAAGGCCGTGATTGATGAGGTCTACTCGCTGCGAGGGAAAGAGCTGAAGGAAGCAGTCCCTGTTCCATCCAAGCTGGTCATGGCCCTGGAAATTTATTTGGACTTTTTGATCAACGCCAAAAAGGATGGCGCGGCCATTTTCATTTGGTGGACTTTGATTTTGATTTTCTCTTCCCTTCGTTTTGATGACGGGGTGCATGTCGCACCAACATCGCTCCAGCTGACAGAGGATGCTCTGCTGGGCTTGGTGTGGCAGACGAAGGTCGAGAGGAAGAAACGGGGAACAAGGTTCGCCGTCCCTGTTTGCTCAATTTCAGGTAGAGACTGGCTCGAAAAAGGTTGGAAACTCTTTCAGCCCTACATGAGCGACCGCGACTTTTTCATCTGGGAGCTCCAGGATGAGAAGAAGTTCGCGCCGGCACCAGTTACCTACAGCCGATCATTGGCATGGCTCAAGCACTTCCTGCTCTTGGCGCTGGGTGAATGCGTTCGGAATGACAAGATCGCATTGAACGAGGTGCCGGATCTAGAGCAGGCAGTGCA